CGGCGGACTGGTATCCAGATTGCGACCGCCGTGGTTGCTGAGCAGGATACCATCAAGCCCCGCTTTCATGGCGAGCAGCGCATCATCCGCTGACATCACACCTTTCAAACACACCGGCTTGTGTGTATGCTGTTTCACCCATTTCAAATCCTCCCATGTCAGCCCGGGATCGATGAACCCAGCCATAACGCGACCGAGACCGCCGCCTTTCTTGTCGTTATGCACCTTCGACGGCGCCATGGGCACTGATAAGTTCTCGTCTGCCTTGACACGCTCGTCGGCTTCGCGCTTACCGGGCCATGCGGCGTCCACGGTAACAAAAATGGCTTTGATGTTCGGATTCGCTGAGCACTGGCGTAGTAGAGCGGCGGACTTTTCTCGGTCCCGGTTGACGTATAGTTGGAAGAAGAAGTCGGCCGAGGGCGCTGCCCCACGTAGCTCATCCATAGTGTAGGATGAGTTGTTTGAAATCTACCCAAATCGTAAGCATAGTGACTGACAATGGCAACACGCGGTATAAGCTTACTCCTTGCATGATTCCTTTGTTTGCACAGGCTCTGGCAATGGCACATTCTCCATCCGGGTGGATGAGTTTTGCCATTGCTGCCGGGCTCACGAATAGCGGGAGCTTGTAACTCCCACCGAGGATATTTGTCCCAGCATCTGCCGAGCGGACATTTCTTAGGACTCGTGGACGGAACCATATGCGGTCAAAGCATGCTTTATTGGCGTCCCGTGTGATTAAATCCGTAGCTGCGCTAGAATAGAAGGCCCAGGTCTTCTTGTTGGCGGTTTTCGAGGCCACAACTTCGAAATCGTGCGAGTTGATCAGTGTATCCAACGGAGGTTTCTCGTTTTCCAATATCACCTTGAGACTCTGCCCTGGTGGTGGTTTGGCCCATTCGGCGTCAATTGTAGACTCATCGAGGATGCCCTTGAACTTCTCCGCGTGGAGATTGTTCTTCATTACGCTGGGTGCATGGACTTCTGAATAGGCTTTCGTTGCATCTCTGCCTGCATGCTTCAGGATAACTGTTCGTACATTATTAAATATCGCCATCAAATACATTTGTCGGTGTACGTACTTGCAGATCCTCCAGGATGCTCTTCCAAAAAGTCGGTCACATCCCACACCTGCTTGTCGACCACAACCCAACAGTCTTCAGGCGTCTTGTGCTCTGAAATCTGTTGAGCAGATAGTAGTTTTTGGTTTGTCATTGCTCTCAGACGGTATGAGTTGGATTAGCCGGAAAGAAATTGAGGCCAATATTAAACGACGCTGGTCCTGTATGTAAAGTTGTGAATGTAATAATAAATGAGGTGGATACAAAGTTGAAGCAGCCATCCACGGCGAACTAAATATTCAGCAACGATCCAGGGCGGGGATGACCTTCGGCAATGTCCCCGGACTTACCCCGGACTGTGCGGGCTATAGTCCTCCGAGCTTCCTATTCGAGTATTTCTTTGTATGCTTAGCCTTGTAAATTCACATTTTCGTGCTTGACCTCCTGGTCTTGAATATCTTCAGGATCACTCCGTGTTCTGGATTGCCTCGCCAATGTTTAGTCCTGCGCAATCAGCTCTACACATGTTGGTCGCACAAAACGTCAAAGGATCAATGTATTTCACGAACAGAAGGAGTTGCTTTCAATCTGAGTGTACACACAATCACTCATGTTTGAAGACATCTAAACCCTGAAGTGTCTTTAATCGGCAAAGCACCGACTGGGCTACGGATATCTCTCCGAGTGGGTCCCAGGTGTCTGCCGCCTGGATTCTCAGGCATCATTTAGTCCCAGCCACAGGAAATCCTCAGCCCTAGTGTGGCTGAAAATTTTCCGACCGTGAGTCAACACACATTTTGAGCTCGACAGAGGAAGTATTTCAACAACACAATAACAAGGATATCTACTGCTCATCTGATGCAAATCAACCCTACCGTTGGCTGTGCTTTGAAACTTTTCCGCCGCAACATCACCTCGAGTGTGAAGTCAACAGGCATAGATAGACCTGTCTCCTTAGGTCTGTTTTGTGTCCAAATACGGGCTTATCAACTAGCCCAGTCAGGCAAAGGCTGGGTAGCTTGGAAAAGCTTGAGCTGACTTATTTCGTAGGTTTTCATAAGAGTCACAGTTTGGCTGGTCTGTCTTCTGTAAATTCCATATCTGCTGGAAATCCCAGAACAATCTCCACAAGTGGAAGACAACAGACCACATTAAATATGGCCGAATCTAAACCCCTCCGATATGTTGATGTGGGTCTCCTTCTATTAAGAGCCTCACCCCCAAAAGGCTATGCAACTCATAGCTAACTGCGAAATACTAGATTGGTATCAACTTAAGTGACCCCGTCTTCCGCGGTGAATATCATGGAAAGCAGGCCCATGAAGACGACCTGGATGATGTTGTCCAGCGCGCTCGCGATGTAGGCTGTTCAAAGTTCATGGTAACCGGCTCAGATCTTGTAGAATCGAAGCACGCTGTCCATATCGCCAGCAAATACCGTAAGTTCGGATCTTGCCAGGACTTTCCATTTCCTTATTGACAGCTGGAATCTGCAGCGGGCTTTTGCTATGCAACCGTTGGTGTGCATCCATGTCAAGCAAAGCTGTTTGACGAATACCCAGAAGGTCCGTCAAGAATGCTGGAGGAGCTCCGCGCTCTAGCAATTGAATCCACACAATCCGGCCAGGCTGTCGCATTCGGCGAAATCGGCCTTGATTATGACCGACTTTTCATGAGCGCCAAGGAACCACAGCTCAAATATTTCGAGGCCCAACTAGACCTGGCTGTCGAGATTCAGCTCCCTTTATTCCTCCACTCCAGAGCTGCAAGCGAGGACTTTGAGAGACTCCTTGCCCCAAGGCTTGCCAAGCTCCCCAAGCGAGGACTTGTACACAGTTTTACGGGGACAATGGATGAGATGAACCGGATGCTCGCGTTGGGTCTAGACGTCGGCGTTAACGGGTGCAGTATGAAGACCGAGGAGAACCTGGAGGTTGTTAAAGCTATTCCACTCGACCGGCTCCAAATCGAAACTGATGGGCCATGGGTATGTACCTTTGCTCTGAGCTCCGGTCGGATCAGTCGTGACTAAACTCTCTTCTAGTGTGAAATCCGCCCCTCTCATGCATCTGCAAAGCACCTAGGCGATGCACCGGATCTGCCGAAAGCTGTGAAGAAGGAGAAATGGCAGAAGGGGTGTATGGTGAAGGGCCGGAATGAGCCTGTCGCCATCGCTCGTGTTGCTCATGTTATTGCTAGCGTCAAGGGTATCACTGTGGAGGAAGTTTGCGAAGCGTAAGACGTCGATTCATCCTGATGCTCGCTTCCATGCTAACTCGTTTTCTTCTCGCCAGCACTTGGAACAACTCTATTAGAATGTTTGGGTTGGGCGAGGAATCCCCTTGATTTTTGGTCTCACCGCAGGTCGATGATAGGACCATACATGAATGCCGCGTGGCATGTGATCACAGCATAGCTCATAGCTGTCTTTCAATGTCAGCTATATTGGTTGCCGCAGAGGTATAAATAACTCGAACGTAACTTCTGTAGTTTGTTTCATACATCATTCCCCACTGTCATTGGCTCTTTCCTTATATTGCTCCTGTGACCACCTTCTTACCCCATCGTGCCTTCCCACCACAGCCTCATCTTCTCCGGGTTCAACCTTCCTCATTCTTGTTGGGTGTGTTGTGGTCATTAGAGTGGCTATCCGCATCTTTTCACACTACGTTTCTAAGGCCTATATGTATTGATGAGGCGCATTGGCAGATCCATCAACGATTACTTACATGATGATGAGCCCAGCTTCAAGTGATCTGAGACCTTCGACAATGTCATCAACAGGATGAACTGGTCCACCCAATTCGAGCATTGTACCCGTGCACCACCGGAATAGGCGAGTCAATACGCTCATCTCACGAGGCCCTTGATGAATATCCTACAACGCTCCGCCCAAGAGAATCTCACTCTCCCCTCCTCGCAACACCTGATGCCTTATGGCATATTCAGTATGAGCACGGATATGTACCCTCAACATAATCTGACTTTTTCAACGCCATATTACAGCCAATGGATATTAGACAAAACTCAGCCCTTCTAGGTCTATCTGGTACAGAAAACAAGAGCTTGTTATATCTCATATCTCTCATCAACGACGTCTCTTCTTCAAAATCTCTCCAACCAAGCAATGGGAAACTTGGTACCCGGAACCTAGAAGACGAGATCGTAGTCCCAAGCTTAGTGGTCTCTTTCTTGCGCATGTTTTGTCGGGTGTTCTTCCACGCGTCGGTACTTTCTCATATAGAAACTAACACCAAAACACTGTCGATATGATGTCTACACGCGAACTGGCACTTCTCAACCACCCAATTAATATCTGGCAATTTAATGACTTGAAAATAATATCCTATTCAGCCGTCTAGTATAGATGTCGATGAAATGTTGCATATTTTGGGAGACGAGACGCAGCCGATGTTAGACGCAGTCAAATAAAGTTTCGTCCTGCATATAAATCCTTCATTACCTACCAAGCGTACCAACACCACCACCGTTATACTCCCCTTTGCCTCTCACTCTAGCCCATTATAAGTAACAGTACATATGTGGTTGGTTGCTACTATGTTTCCCGTAAAAAAAAATTTCACTTCCCCACTTTGCCTTTGCAAAATCACCACTTTGACAAAATTTACCCGGCGCTGAACATCATAAGGTTACAACGAAAAGGAAAAGTAATATTGATACAATCAACGTATATAAAAAAACAAAACCAAACTCCGATAGGGGGAATCGAACCCCCGGCTGCCGTGTGAGAGACGGCGATGTTAGCCACTACACCATATCGGATCTTGTTGAAAAATTTAGTGGGTTTTGCCGCTATCAGGAATCGGGGAGTCGGTACCGTGCGTTCTATAATCCCTCTAAGCACACCTAATACTCAAATTCCCCTTCATATCTATCTTGGGATATTTTAACAAAGTTTTATCAACGCCTGGCACAATGGAGCCTTCGTTTGAGGATGTGCAGTCCATTCGAGATGCAGATCGCGGGTTTATTGATCGTCTCGACCCATGTATCATTAAAGATAGCCAAGGCCGTGTGGTCTGGGATAATGAAGCGTACAACTTCCTCCATGGAAAGCCTGCCCCAGAGACCACGAACCTGGCGCCAAGCTCAACTTGTTGCAAAACAAGGGCTTTTTGAGGTTGTCGACGGCACATATCAAATCAGAGGTTTCGATCTCTCTAACATGACTGTGATCGAAGGGAAGGAGGGTATAAGCGTGATCGATCCCCTTACCTCTGCAGAGTGTGCAAAGGCTGCACTAGACCTGTATTGCAAGAATCGCGGCAGCAGACCCGTGCTAGGCATGCTCTACACGCACTGTCACGCGGGTCATTTTGGCGGTGCTGGGGGAATCTTATCCCGAAGCGAGGCAGCTAGAAATGAATAATCGGGGGTTGCTTCTATTCCATGTGACCAGTTAGTCGTCGGATGTTAGTTAACTACAGCTTGCGCGAATGGGCTAAGCATTGTTTAGGAAAGGGCTGTAGTTAAAATGAACCTGCCGTTGCCTGTAGGGAATAGCCACGCTCTTGTGGGAACGAACCCACGCTCCACCGTGGTCTTTGAATCGATTCCCCCTTACACCATATCGGGATACGGTGAAGGCTGCTTCCGGTTTAGCATTATCAATAGGTTTTGAGCACCACCGGCTGCTATGGGTGCCTATGCGTGGTTTTATAGACAGACCCCCTGCCTATTCTCATCTAACTGCGCCAATGTTTTTTCCCCTCTCCTTCTTCCTACGCCTGACAGGAGAGGCATTGTTGCCATGATCTGGAACACTGAGCTCCTAGGCCCGGCCACCCCTTTTCCCCCTGTGTGTGTCATTGGCTCCTGCGATCCCGCGCTAGTAACCTGCCCTGCTCCCCTCTCCCCTCGTCCACGACGCCGGCCTACTGGTTCTTGCCTAGCATGTTATTCTGTTGGTCAATCGCTCATCTCCTCGCACGCAGGTGAGTTCACCTTACACTCCTTCGGGAGTAGATCAATGTATATTTGAGAGAGGTCACGTTTATAGGTCTTGGGCGTTTAGATAGTCAAAAGTCGGTTGACTTTATCGATTCCAGGCTAATAGGTGCCGGATAATGGTTCATATGCTTGGCGTAGCTCATTTTGTGTATATTTTTCCTAATGGGAGTGGTGCTATTAGGCATAACGACAGTCGGAAAGTGCTAGCCAGCCCACTAAACGGGCTATTTCACGGTGCTCGTATAGCGGTGAATATGTGAAATAAAATAGAGTAAAACGGAGATATGGCTATTGCGCCGAAACAACAAGTGCCCCTATTCCCCTATCCACGCCTTGCTCTGAAACCTTGATCAGGTCAGGCTTAGGCCAAATTTTCCTAATGTTCCAGCTTGTTTTAGCTTCAAAACTCTCAGCTTCATACCTTATAAAAAGACTCGAACATATTGTCCCAATTTCGTAAATCACCTGCTAAGTGCTTTTCAATGGAAGAAACCCTTTCAACAAACCATATAATAAAGTCCTCCTTCGTCGGCCGACCTAGTGTAGGCTGATGGTATTTTAACACTCAACCTTTGCAGACGATAGAGCTACTATTTTGGGAACTCTGGATATAATTTTTGGCTGATTAGCTTCCAGGTGGTAGGGACCGATGGATGAAAAGTAAAAGATATACTGACGATCGGAGGCCAGACAACAGCACCGTTTTCGCAGCAGAGAATATCAGAACTGTCGCAGGAACCGCCAGCTCGTGGCGTTTTAGCAAAGAACCTGCACAATTATACAGTTTGGCCGGCTCACCACTACCGCATCGAGTTCCAGCAATACTCCTAACAATAAAACCGGAACAACAATAACAAACGGGAGCCCTTGCGTTAAGGTCGTTCTCATCAGACGATTCACCGGCAGCAGCAATGACGGACAATGCAAACGAAGCAAAAAGAATATTCTTCAAATTCATCTTCGTGAGCGTGGGTTTGTGGTAGAATCTGATGCTTCAGGTCAGTTGGTATTGTGAGTATAAAAAGGTAGGACGAAGAAATAAAAAGCCGTTGAGATATGTCAACCGCTATAAATAAGCCAACCCCATGTCGAGATTATTACTTTTACAAAAATGGTACTAAGAGGATGATCTCAATCAGCGAGTGAGCACTTCAATTGACAATAAGCCTTTTCATCATCGATCGCTCACCTATGAGTTTGGAACCACGGACTGGAGTTATCATCTCTCCACTCGTATTCTGGTTCATACTACGTCTATATCACTGGGGTTAGCGGCTGACCCAGTCAATCTTATGGTATAATATCGGGTACGATCTACAAATGAGGTCCCACTCCGAACACTTCGATGCACACTGATCTCTAGATTTATTTACGATCTAGGACTTTATTGGACAGAAAGACCCTAAAACAAGATGCAAAACCAAGTCTCCAGGTATCATTACGAAGGAATTTCTATTATACGGTATGGTATACTCTACCAGTGCGTCTACCTGGTATTCCGTTAGTTGAGCAAACTATGTTCACGTGTGGTGAGAAACGAAAAAGGAAAAAAGGAACGGTTGAAAAAAGGGTAGCCAATAAACAACTAGTAAGTAGTTCCATGTCATGTATTTATGGAAATCGGATGTGGTTAGATTACGGCAAACTAGCAACTGTCGATTTTGACAAGATTTGGGCCCATTCTAGATCGATAGAGGCGAGGATTGCTGACATAGGACCGATTTTGGAAATGTATTCTCCTGCCACTACAAGTTTCACCATGGCGTTACCAAGAAGTCGTGATATTGCTATCTAGGGTACTTGTGGTCATCTATCATGTCCTCACATGGTTTATGTATAATATCTTGATTCAATTCGTATTTTTAGGCAGGTTCCAGCTCACAACCGACCCATCTTTTAGCGGGGGTCTGGAGGCGTTCACCCAAGGGTCCACGAATATATTCGTATTGTTAGCTAATCGCGGGTTCCGCTTGCATTGGAAAGGTATGTCACTCTCTATCTGAAATGGGTATTTGTTCATATACTCGTCATGCTGTGAAATTGTGGTTGTGAAATAAAGTTCGATCCGGCGTACTCAAACTCGAGGAACAAGATTTATCGAGAATGCGACCGCACTGGTTACTTTCTTTTAGAATCCCATGAATCAAGTCTACTTGGCACCACACTTAGCCGGTCCGCAATGAAACATTGAGGCTATGTTTGATCGGTATTTGAAGCAGCATAAAATTTCAGGACTTCGAAGTGGATGAATATTCAGCTCTAGTTAAGGTTTTATTAAGTGCTTGGAACAAAGGATGTGGCTAAATCTAATGTATACCGTCACATTTGTCTGTGTAGATAAGTTGCCAAATTTTTAATCTTCGAAATAAATTTCAAAGTAGATTCGAGTGCTGCGGCGGGCCAGCAACCATGCCATTCATTCTCAACCAGGTTTGCTTCTCGTTTGTTCTGTTGATGTCTCTTTCACACGGAGTTTCCAAATCGCAACCACGCGATGATGTCCACTACGAAGATAAGATTGGCCAAATGGATTTTCCGAAATTTGGACCTGTCGATGCCGTTTACACATGGGTTAACGGGTCAGATCCTATATGGAATAGCGAGAGGGACTTTTGGTATCAGCGCTGGATTCAGGAATATGATGGCCCGGATCGAAATAATCAAAACAGACAGAAGAGTGGCTCCGATGGTGATCATGATGGTTCTTCCGCCGAGAATCATTTTCGAGACAACGACGAGCTCCGATATTCACTGCGCTCCATGGAAAGATATGCACCATGGATTCGCCAAGTATATCTTGTGACGAACGGGCAGGTTCCCTCTTGGTTAGATCCAAACAATCCTCGAATCAAGATTGTCAAGCACTCGGACATTTTCCAAAATTCATCCCAATTGCCGGTTTTCTCTTCCACTGCCATTGAGAGCAATCTGGACAGGATACCAGGTCTCAGTGATGTCTTCCTCTACTTCAATGACGATACTTTCCTTGCTGCACCTATATGGCCCGATGATTTTATAACACCATCTGGGGTGCAAACTATCTACCTGTCCCATCCTGTTCCATTAGGTTATGATGCATATCCGGAGTATCACCCTGGAGATACTGGGTTCACTCCAGACAACTCCAAATTAACCTGTGGCCACGACCTCGATGATTTTGGCTTTGTGGATGACGGCTACGACGGAGTAAAGATTGAGCAACTAGTAGGGAGAGTATTTGCTTCCACGTCGTGCGATGTGGAAGGAGCAGAGATCCCACATTCCCTACTTGGTGAAGCTTTGGGGAGTAATCTTCCAGATGGACGCGGCCACATCAATTTTACCTTACTCTCAACGCACCTGAATCGCACCTCGAACAATGTTGAGATATCGAACACGACGGCGAGCATGCCAGTACTGGACACCAAGAATAGAATAAAACTTGCGGCACTGCTGGATGCATTCTCGCAGTGCCCCGGTCGCGATCATTTGGTTGCCAATGCAATCAGATCTGTGATTAAAGCATTCAATGGGCGATTCAGTCTCTCCAAACACCTCCGGAGAGTCCCCTCGCACATGCCTCATATGATGAGTAAGCAGATATTTACTGAGCTGAAAGGGATGTTTCCACAAGAGTTCCAGTTGAATTCAGCCCACCGGTTCCGGCACCCATCGGACTTACAGGTTAGCTTTGCTTATTTCAACTATCTCGTCAACCGACCCAACTTTTTATCTTCTACCCTGTGCGGCTTGCAGGATCAATACCTTGATATAAATCAAAATTGTTGGCTTGGAGAAGATAATATCCGAACCCTCGAAAGTCTTTTATACGGAGTAAGCCCACCGGCAGACTTTCATGACTCCGTCCAAAGGTGCCTTCACAATGGCTCTCAGTTCACGAACGACCAACAATCTCCAACCCAAACAAGGCATACGACTCCCGTTTCTATCAAAGACGTGGAGCGTTGCATCGATATGTCAGGGTTGCGATCGCATCTGCAGAGAAAGAAGGGATATAGACTGAGAATGGGAACCGATGTGACTTTTCACATGCTAGGCGACGACTACCAGACCACTATGGACCAACTGCAATCGACGAGAGACCGACCAACGAAATTTATTTGTCTCAATGATGACATGAACAACCCGCCAATTGACTTGAGACATGGTTTCAAGCATTTGCTCGAAGAGCTGTGGCCCGTGCCTTCAACCTTTGAGTTGCATGCAAGACGTGTTGATCATAATGAAGGCATCAAAACAATGTCGAATGAGGATGACACCTCTCCGCGTCTTTTTTTTATATTGATGTTCCTTTCTGGAAGTATTTTGATACTGGTGCTCTCCTTGCGAATTTCGGTGAGTCGGACTAGGCGCAAGACGACCTAAGAACTTGCCCGGGTTTAGGCATGAATGGATGCATGAGAAGATTCCAAAACTTATTAAGTGATCGTGCATATTAACATAATTGTTGGGTGGCTGTGCCGAAGGCACCAGATGTGGAGACAGCACCAAATTTAGTAGATAATACTCACTCTCTCCTTCTCTCTCTGTCCCTAGTCTCCCTGTCCACTTTCCCATTATTGATCTCAATACATGTCTTCTCTGATCTTATCCTTTGTATTGCAATCCGAAGAATAGTTCAATCTTGGATACTAAGTCTCGTGTATTGGCATCCTGAATTACGGAGTACTAAAGTCCCTCTCTGTTGGGTTGCAACGCCATTGGAAATCAAATCGTGGAATAAGCCGGAAAACAGTATGCCCCAGAAACCAGTCTTCAAATGAATTCACTAGTGTATCCGACTTATAGCCGCAGTGAAACGCCGAATTCATAGCGAAGCGAAGCCGGGTTAGCTTGATGATTCACAGAGTAAAAATTCTGACCCGAAAGGAAGGAGAAGCAAAGAACAAAAAACAAAACAAAACATGCAACAGTGAGGATTCACTGGTGGTCACCCACACAACTACTAACTCACCGGCGTGTGGCCTGAGTACGGCTGAGCGCACACCCTATGGTCCCATATACTTGGAGGAGCTTGTGAAGGGCTCAAGGCGCGGCGATACAGTTTCTCCATGCCGACGTGAAAGCGAGCCGACACCGACACAAATCGCATTTGATGCTATGCAGCCCAAACAGCCTCCCGCCCGTCCCAGCACAAGCCACATAGAAGAATGAAGCAAACGAACACAAAACAAAAGTAAAGAAAACCTTTATCAACTCACCTTTACAGCTCTTGTCATCTCCGGACCTTGGGGAACAGCCTACGGAAGAACCGGCAGAAACGAGACACTTGAATTATTATCTAAACAAAGATGATCCGATCCATGGTTTACAAGGCCATCTAGGTCATTAACCTTTCATAGCACGAACCGGAAACATCTATGGATGCTTAATTCGATAAAGTTAGGATCAGTTTGCCAGCTCCACGTCCTAACGGGTCTCCGCTCCTCACTTGACTCTCGTTCTCAGAATATTATAAAAGCCCATGTGCGGTCAAATTACTTAAACTCAGACCTATCCCTCAAACTTCGTCTTCTTCCCTACTGGGCTCATCCACGATGAAATTCATTTTGATGGTGTCCACTCCAAAATGCTACATTTTATCTAGCTTGGCCCTTTTCCTCGCCAGCATTAGCTTCTCGGGATTGACATTGAGCTCAGAGACCAGTCATGAAAGCCACTGCGGATACATTCTCGCAGCGAAATCAACAGAAAATACTATCCGAAGTTCCCGAACTTGTCCAGTGTCCTTGATTCCCATCCCTAAAGCGACATCAACCTTCATTCCACAGATCCAATACCAGTTCAGTCCTGAAACTGAAACTGACCGACTTGAGAGAACTAAAAGGCAACTGGCTGTGAAAATGGCGTTTAAACATAGCTGGAATGGGTACAAGACCCATGCCTGGTTGTGGGACGAACTATCACCAATCAGTGCAGGCCATCAAAGCCCCCTTGGGGGCTGGGCAGCAACTTTGATCGACTCCTTGGATACACTAATCATAATGGATTTACACGAAGAATTTGATGTTTGTCTCCAGGCTCTCCATGACATCGATTTTTCCACCTCGAGATTTCCAATTGTTAATGTCTTCGAGACCACAATCCGACACCTCGGGGGTTTGATCAGTGCGTATGATTTAACCAAAGGAAAGGATTATATTCTCTTGGAGAAGGCCCTGGAATTGGCCGAGTTTTTGTATGAGGCGTTTGATACCCCAAACAGGATGCCACAAATGCGATGGCAATGGATAAGGTGGGTAGCAAATGCGTTTCTTACTCCAGTCAAAGAGGTTCCTCTGTTCATGGATTACTGTTGGGAATATGTTAACCAGTACTTAGGACTATATTTGGGTCTTCAACACTGCCCAGTAAAAGTACCCTCCTGGCTGAAATAGGTTCTTTGAGTCTAGAGTTCACTCGTCTTTCGCAAGTAACGGGCGATCCCAAATATTTCAATGCCGTTCAGAGAATTACAGAAGTCCTACACTGCACACAAAACCAGACTAGATTGCCAGGTCTGTGGCCACTCTCATTTGACGCCCAAGCATTGCAGTTCTCAGGCAGCTACTTCACAGTGGGTGGTATGGCTGACTCCACCTACGAATACCTCGTCAAAGAGTATTTGCTTCTTGGAGGCCAATCAGAGCAATATCGTGATATGTATATCTCTGCAATGGAAGCGATTAAAAAGAATCTACTCTTCCGTGGCATGGACAGGCATAGGCAAGATATATTATTCGCTGGAAATATCCGATTCGATACAAAATCTGGCGAAGAGATCTTTGAGTATCAAACGGAGCATCTGAAGTGCTTTCTCGGAGGTATGGTAGGACTTGGTTCCCGGGCCTTCGGTCGCCCAGATGACTTGTCTATTGCTCAAAAGCTGGTAAATGGATGTATCTGGGCATATGATCTCATGCCCACTGGAATCATGCCTGAAACCTTGCATATAAGTGGCTGCAGAAAGTCAGACAGTTGTGAATGGGAGGAAGAAAAGTGGTTTCGTGACATTCTTGGTTGGCCGGATGGAACGGAATTGCCTACGAATCTACGTGAGGCCACACGACTGATTATTCAAAATAATGGGTTGCAGCCACCAATACTGGAAGTCGCAGATCCAAAGTATCGTCTGAGGTAATTCGAAATACCTGGTTGGGTCTATCAAAATAGTATCGTGCTGACATTTTAACTCAGGCCCGAGGCAATTGAGTCCATTTTCATTCTGTACAGAATTACCGGCGACAAGTCATTACAAAGCGCCGCATGGCGAATGTTTCAAAACATTGAGCAGTACACCAAAGTTAAGTACGGCTATGCTGCGCTCAAAGATACCCGTGACACCCGAGCAACAAAACTGGATGCCATGGAAAGCTTCTGGCTTGCAGAAACACTAAAATACTTTTATCTCATTTTCTCTGATCCGGAGATTATTAGCTTGGATGAGTATGTCCTGTAAGTATAGTGTCTCCCTCTTCTTCCAAATTGAAAACCCTGACCAAAGAATTCAAACTACGTGATGTAGCAACACCGAAGGGCACCCATTCAAGTATATACATGTCTCTCCCACAGTTTAGCATCACGGTTTCCTCATCTTATATTTTTAATTAGATTAATTACTATTGGACGATCCTATCCTCCATGGATGCATACTGAGCCCTTTGTTGTGCCTTCATAGATAAGCCTTTGTGTTGAGCATTGTTATTAGTCAATTATTTGCACTATTTTAGTAGGCCTATAAAAAGGCCTTTCTCAGGATATATTTAACATACAGACTTTATGATTATTTTCTCCGGGAGCTAATTCCCCGAGCCCTTCGACAATTCCTGTTAATCCATGCAAATTCTCGGCCCGCCGGGCTCCACCGATGTGCGTCACGACTGTGCTGCAAGTTTTGTCTACAATATGTACCAAGGAACTACGATTGATAGCCGGGTAGACAGCAGTTATTGACCATCTAGGCCGTCGAAAGAAAGGCAAGAACACGAACACGCAGAACCTTGGACTTGAGACCATGATATCATTTTCGCCTCAAATTCATTAAAGTCGTAACCTGTTACTACGTGTAATAGATCGCGACATCCATCCACTTTCGGATATCTATAATATACGGATGATGCATGGTGTATTAGCCTTCAACCCATTTGGTCTTTTGTATTTCCGAATTTTATCAATTGAACCAAGACTTCAGCACCCAGTTTATCACGTCAAAAGAGCGACCAAAAAGCGGGCAGGTACAAATGATTACTACTTCGAATAGCAGCCTCCCTACTGTCCAATATCATGAGTCGAGTTGGGACCAGATAGCTACTTCCTGGCCTACGAGACCGGCAACCGGTGACTATTCTTTCTATTCGCAAGTTCAACCCCAAGAAGGATCACGTCTGGAAAGAGCAAAGCCAGTCCTACCAGACTCCCGGGTACTCGGGCTATCATCATTATGGGATCAAACAAGCCATTCCGACAGCTGGGAGTATTTTCTTCCACAAACCCAAAACAATGACTCTGCAGGTCACTTTGAGAAGAACTACGATGAGGTCTCAACAGGGCAGAGAGTCAACTCCGAGAAACAATTGCATAGCACAGAAATATTCTCACACGGATGGCCAGACCAGGCTGCCGACACAGTCTGCGGCTGGGGCTCCAGTGAACAGCATACCCGCTTAATTCGGAAGAAATTCGTTGACATACTTAATAAATATCAAGTGAAAACGCTTAACGATGCTGGCTGCGGCGACCTTGCATGGATGAGCATGATAGATCTCGAAGGGATTGACTATGTTGGCTACGATATATATGAGCGTGTGAATTGGGCCGAATTACAAGAACGCGGTTATCAACTGGAAGTTCTTGACATCACATCAACTGAGTTGCGCCCGGCTGATTTACTCATTTGTCGCGATGTTTTTATTCATTTGCCGAACGATATGGTTCTTCCCACACTGGAGCGGTTCCGCCGCTCGGCCTCACTGCTTCTCACCACAAGCTACACGAGTGACTGGAGTATGAGCGAAAGAGGATTTTCCAATCTCGAGCGGATGAACGAGCCAAGCCTGCATCATAAAAAGCTCGACCTCTCATTGCCTCCATTCAACCTCGGCCAGCCGCTTGTTCAAATCCCCGAGAACTCACCTAATAAATATCTCGGACTCTGGGATATGAAGCACCCACCAACAGGCATGTAACTGATTTTGCTATTCCATCGAGCCTCATTAAACCCAAATACTCAGTCATGGGGGAATTTCCTTTGGAATTAGGGTTGGACTCCCTTTTCATCGGATCGAGAGAATTTTAATCGAAACATTCGGAAATGAGATTATGTTGGGACTACAAATCAAAAGGCCATCTGAGAGACCAGAACCTATAGTTAAAACCCTAGGTTATCTTAGTCCTGCATGTCCGAGGCATTCGCATAATATCGTCAAGGTCTACTTTCAGAGTAAAACATCCCTTCGTTATATAGAGATTAAGCGACAAACAAACACAATGAGATCTGTTGAGTGGCTAGTGTGGTCAGACGAGATTGGTGAGCATCTTGGTGAATCCGGCGCAGACCAAAATCGTGCGGATGACAAAGTCGGGTCTTAGGTTCTTGAGATGAATATTAGCTCGCCTATGGGTTTGCTGGCTTGGACTCAAGGTCTAATCTTGAGGGTGGATAGGGATTTGGGGATCTTTGCAAGACATAGCCAACACTCCTTGGCTTCTGTTTGAATGCATCTAGGAAAGTCTAGGCCTCCGACCGGGTCTTCCGGCGACAGTAACTCAAGGAATTCCACCTTAAGTTTATTCTATAGGCTAGATAGTGTTTCGTCTAATCTACTCTTCTGAGTGCCTATTCAGTTACAAGTATCGCTAGCCCCCACCCACCCCAACTACCCACCCCAATTACCCACCCATATCTCCTTTCAGTTCTAAGCATGTGGAGTTCTCTTTTCTTTCTATATGGGCTGCTGTCATTGGCTCTTGGGGGGGCCAGATTGGCCGTATAAGTCATTTCAGACAGGAAATTGGCAACCTCCCTCTTTGAACCTCACAAAAACACGTGCAACGGAGGATTTAGGATACATCTTTATAGGTGTTCGGAAATACAGGCAAGCCGACACTGCACCAACGATCTTCAGCAACATGGGCGACATGGTGTTGCAGGGTCCGCACGGAGAGAACCTTGATTTAAAGGTGCAAAGGCTTTTCGGACAGGATGTGATCACTTATTGGAATGGACAGCCAGATGCATGTGGGCTATTTACTCCCTCTTCTACGAGATCGATATAAAAACAAATAAAATCTTGTTCAAATGGGATGCACTGGAGCGCATTCCGATATCTAAGACCAGGATCGACATGAAGGGCGGCAGCAAGTTGACTGAGGCCTGGGACGCTTACCATATCAACTCGGTCACTCCTACCAAGTATGGATATCTAGTCAACTTTCGGCATATTTGGTCTGCTTTCTATATTAACAAGGATGGTTCCATCTGGTGGGAACTTTCTGTGAGTACATATCATTGTTATCACGCTGTTGATTCTGTTGATTCTGTTGATCTGGTGGTTTGAACATATTTGCTCATTCGGTGCTTCTTTCTCCTAAGGCGACAGTGACGGCGGCGGCGACTTCAAAAATGACGACGGTTTACTTCGCATGGCAACATGATATCCGCGTCAACAACGAAATTGATGAAAGCTTAATACTCAGCCTAATGAATAATGATGCCTTGGAGAATCGTGACAAGGGTCCATCAACAGGACTGGTTATCTACGTGGACCTCGTTAACAAGAAGGTATGGAGGATCCACGAGCTGACAAACCCGATGGACAGAGTTGTTAGTGCAACTCAAGGCAGCTTTCAGTTCCTCCCATGCCCGGGAACAGAGCACATGTGTTGGATGTCTGAGGAATCAGTATGTGATAGAACCCACAGTTTGATAGCTCTCTCTCCTTTCCTTCTCTTCCTCCTCTCCTTGTGCGAGACAGTCAATCCGCACAGTGTTTTCTCCATTTGATTCTCCATCTGTATCGCATCTCTATTAACATGTTAGTAGGATACGGATCAATACCCAAATTCAAGGAATACGATGGAGACGGCAACGTGGTTTTAAGAGGACAATTTGGCAATAACGCATTCGAGGCGAATGCCTACCGGATATTCAAATTCCGATGGAAAGCTACTCCGCACTGGAATCCTGTTCTGTTTGTCAACCATACAACCGAGTATACCACCGATGTTTACATGAGCTGGAACGGTGCCACGGACTATGACAACTGGGCCATTTTCTCAGTCTCGTCGGAGACCTCGACGTTGCAAGAAGGCAAACCGCTACTGGTTCACAAGCGAGACGGCTTTGAGACTCATGTAACCCTCGAAAATGTCAACGCCAATTTTATCTTCACTGTTGCGAGAAATCACGAGAAAACCCTGGGCAAGTCTTCTAGTAGGTGGGCGCCAAACAATCCATCCCCCATGCCACCTTACTGGCCAAGTGGCTGTGCTGCAGATTTATCACTGACTCGCGTTATATGTGGGTATTGCCTCATAATATGATACAAAAGGCCATATAGGATAGCGATAGCGGTGCTTCACTGCTGGACGCCGGGGTCACAGAAAGAAATAGACCAGAAGGTGTAATTTGTTGATCAAACGATATTGATTTGGTAGCTGCGCGGCAAGGGTGATTGCTATCGTCGACTTTCCAGTCCAGGGTTGCCGTACAGTCTTCTTAGAGGCATCGTGTGGACCAAGCCAAGTCTTGGGCTCGTGTGTATCCGAGACCCACTCGCATGAGTGAGTCGAACGCTCTCCCGTTGTCACCTTGAAGTTTTGTCTCCGAATGGGTCCGTTATGAACCTGACACACATGCCTTCTTTACTTGATTAAACTCAGTTTCTTTGACTAAGTTAGTTATAGCATTAAATTTCCTGTAACAAAGTAACTGTAAACACGTTTCGTCTGACAAATATCTCCCGGAACTACAGAGAACAGCGATTTTGCGTATACTGCAGCAGCGAACGCTGTGTATAACTGTTATTGTTTATGCCCATGAGAGTCGCAGTAGTCACATATTTCCGAATTACCAGGAACTGATTCTTATCCTTTAAGCCTGATGTCTCCATATTACAGCAGAGCATGTTTTGCTTTTTAGAAATCTGATTTAGGACATGGGCATCTTTCACAACCTGGTTTCCCGAGGCGATTAGTCTGTTGGATGAACCTATCCTCCATGGATGCATGATGAGCCCCTTCTTACCTTCCATAGATGAAATGCTTTTGTGATAGATGCCTTTGTTTAGTTTGCTAGTTTAGGACTATAAAAGGCCTTTCTCTTCATGGCCTTCTACAGGAGCTGCTTTTTCCCTAGCCCAACAACGTAATCCACAGTGAACCACAGACTCATGGGTGCTATGGGTGCTTCGGGGGTTCTGATTGTCCAACTGATTCAGATCACAAGAAAAGCAATGACTTAGACTACCGCGGTGGCCATTTGCCGCGTGGAAGAGCCAATCGCTGTTTCGTCAGACCGAGAGGATTTATCTTTCATCCATTCATTTCTGCCGAAGTGTCTCGATAATGGTTTGTCTTATTGACCATTTCCCACGCGAACCATCACTTTCAATGTGACTCACTGCCGCTAATAAAAAGCGGGAGGATTATTATGGGATCCTATACGCTGAAATCGCCCAACGCCCTGTCTTTCCAAAGTTGTGTTGTATCACACCACTACTTCTTGCTATCAGATTGGCTGGCTGACAACAAAATCTCTAAATCAAATATCGGTCTTGTTTATCACCCGACCTGGGGTTTGACTTTCATGCATGAACTCAGCGGGAAGGTTGCGGGATCGGATGATCGAACTTGCATCATGTGGCGGCGGCGTGCCCAAAAGTGACAAACATATGGTCGACAAGCTAAACATACCACAGTTTTATGGGGAAATTAAATTCCAAACACGTAGGAGGTTAGATAATTTATCGAACACCGTCGTGGTGCATTCGACCAATATTATAACGCAAAATATTCATCAAATAAGCCGTCTGCTACGCGATATGTTTGATTGGTTCTCGCAAATAAGACAGCTATTTCAAAGCTATATAAATACTTCATGATCTATTTACTCGCTGCAAGAATCGGATTAATCTCAACGAGGGATAAAGCACCGGTTTTAGGATTAAATGTGGTTTAACCTGTGGACGACAGTGGGTCCAAACCCGCATACCTGACCTGAATATTCAGAGCCATATGACAAACGACGAGGGTGAAATCTGGATCAGTGTTAAATTCGAGGTAATTCATCTGCCCGTCATGCTCATTGGGTGGTTTGTGACTGGATAGGTCACCTACACGTCACGTCATGATCTGATATCCATCGATCAGGGCGAATAACTTCACCATAACCTAGGTAGACTAAGAGTCTGGACTGCTCCTGAACATCTCGTGTGATACTTTTACTTCAAAACGCTCCTTTGTCGTGAGTCTAGACTATCTAGTGCTGTAATCCATAATATTCATGTGACATGTATTGGTTACTAAGCTCCAACTATAATTGCCTGCATTACCCTGACCCTCAACTTGGTATTATTAGCTCACCCTTACATTCTAACGAATCATTTTCTCAGCCGTATATCCCAAAAAACCTACTTTGTTGAATGGTCATCTTTGCTCTATCATCCTCAATATGCCCCTTCGTAACTACGGTGTCTGGAAAGGAACCCCTGTATCCTACATCATTGAATATGAAGTAGATGACAATGAAAGCCCGCATTTATCGCTATACTTTAGTGATAAAAGAGGACCGACTCACCACTCTACCCACAATCTAAACCGTGCCCGCAGAGGTAACAAAGAAATTCCTGGGCTCCTCAGAGCAGCAATCAACATCAAGTCTGGTGACAAGCGTGAATCGCGACTTACCTACTGGGCGGATCACAATTTCAATAATCATCCGATCACCAACAGTCTCGCCGACCTATCCTGGGGGTTTTCTTCCCTCGGAGACACGGAGCCAAACCCTGCTGGTGTGAGGCTGGACTACATCCGGAGTAACTTATTCAATATCACCACCGGTCGAATCCTACCCCATGATGTACCAGATTCGGACAATGATATAATTGATGTTCTAGAGCCTGAAGTCAAACAGGCGATTGACGATAAGGCCGATATCTATCTATTTGGAGAACCATTCAGCGATCGAAAGGGAATTCATAATGTGCATATGAATCAAGGCAATGTCGAACAATTTGCAGGTGACGACGGTGTGTTCCAAGATGGTGGCCTTTTTATCAACTACCCACGCTCTGGTCGATGGGTTGGGATCTTTCTCGGATTCGCATCACAAGCTATGCACACCGATAATAGGACAGGGCATGCCATATCATCAGAGACCTGGGGTGACTATCTAGGGAGAAAAAACAGAGCCGCCGAGCTGACGGAGGACTCTGTGATAATTGACGAGGCTTTGATAAGCCCCGAGTCAAATGATCCTAGAGCCAGGCGTAGGTCGGTTACTCTTACAAATCCGAAAGACCACACGATCCCCCTGTCTTCCTGGAAAATCAAAAACTCAGCTGGTGAATACCAAACACTGCCACGTAATGCAGCTTTGGATGCTAGGTCAACGCAAGCGTTCGACATCCCAGATGTTCATCTCTCGATCCTTGGCGATACCATCACACTGTTGAATGAACAAGGACTGAAAGTGGACGGGGTAAGCTATACCTCTCAACAGGGATTTGAGAGGCAAGCAATTGCTTTTGCTCATTAAAATGGATTTTGTGAAAATTAGTCTACTCCACAAAAGTTCCTACTATCTACTTAACAAGTTGAACCTGTCACAACCCAGGAAAATGCTGCAGTGGGTTCGGCAATCGTATCCCTCAAATGTATCCTTGCGCCCTGTTTCAATATCCCCGTGTACATGCCAATATCATGCAGCTATAGTGTCTTCCCATAAAGCTTCTCCGTAAACATACTTTTAGATCCAAGAAAGAGTTATAGAAGAGCAGCCCAGGAGGATATCACGTATCTCGCCTTGTTGGATAGTGAGGCATATCCCAACCCCAGGGACTTCACGGGCCGATTATGTCTACAATACGCTTTGGGTCTCAAAACCAGAGAATTGTCAGACGGCCTCTTCGGTCTATGTCTGAACTCGAACATGTGCAATCAAGTGACTGGTTCCATATTGCGGAGCAGAACACTTGTTGGGTTCAAGTATACAAACTCGGTGACTCGGGAAGTGGCTTTGACTGGAAATTGACTGGCAACCCTCGACGCGACCAACTGTTATCAGAAGGACCTTCCAGAATATAGTGAGTAATTTATCTGCAACTTGCCTCTATATCCTGACTTTCTTCCAGACTCTATGCGCAGAGCCCGTGGACTCATGTACCAGTCTTGTTCGATGCTGAGAATCATATGGAATCCGAAAAAAAAGAAATCAAACGACATTCAGTGCATCCGGCAAGGCTTTTCAGACTCTGTTGTGTCCTACATATCAATAAACTTTCCTCCCCAAGGCCGGTTCCTTTCTGAGAAATATGGAATGCGTCAGGGCCCGTGGGATATTGCATGGATTAGAAGGCCGGAGGTAAAAGACAAGGTCATATTTCTAAGTATGATTTCAGATGGCTGTTTTCCTGCATCTGACAGCCACTTCTTTCAGCTCTTTCTGAGGGATCTCAAGAATCAATGGGCCATTGCTTGCTCGATTGCCAGCGTGAGAATTGAGGAAATAGTAAGTTAATACCATCTGGAAGGCACGGCACTACAAAGATTTCCGACCGTTTTGGGATAAACCAGCAAAAGGAACAATTGGAGCAAAGGGGCCGAAAGTCTACATTGATTGATCAACTTTCTGACAATGCATCGATTCGAATTAATGTCCGGAATTGTTTGCGATCGCATATCAATAGACTAAGCCACCAGGTCAAGACCGATCAAATTTTCACAAAATATGCCCAAGCAGAGCTCACTGCTCTTATTGATGAAATTGGGAACGATGCAACCGGAAGGCTAGATGACATGGAACGTGCAGTTCGTGAATTGCTGCAAATGGTACGTTTGCTCATGAAACACGTTATTATTGATTTTTGACACTTGCGTAATAGGAACGTGCTTGGGTTTCAAAGAACGAGGCAGCGAGTATCAAACGTCTTACTTGGGTTACCGTAAGTGTAGGCACAACCGCGCAAATTTGACAGTAGTAACTTGTGGCCTGACGCTCTTTCTATCTAGTTCATTTTCCTTCCTCTAATGTTTACCTCCGTCAGTAGCCCTCAAACCAGTGATTAGGGATCCAATTTGGCTTGAGATCTCGGCTAACAAACGGATATAGAGCCTGTTTGGAATGAATTTGAATGTACTTCAAAGCAATCCTGACTGGAAATGGTATCTCCTTTTTGGGGCTGTATCTATTCTCCTAACGGGATGCATATGGCTCATTTCCAGAATTTGTCCAATGATTTCTGTTACTGTGAGCTAATTTTGACATATTAGGAATGGAGTGGCAGGGGTTGGGATGGGGTTTGGGGGGGATTAATACAGAGAAAGAGAGACCCGTCGCTTCCAATTGCCTAGCTTAATAGAAATTTGATAACAAGATGATGAGCTCTCTAGCTCTAGCTAATGATGTTCCATATGCCAAATTTGAGCCAGACACCTTGAAATTAATTCAAATCTACGCTTCAAGGGTGGAGGGGTAATTGTCGTGAAATACCTTAGAGTATTATCTAGATGAATAGAACATAGTTTACCCAAGTGATTGTCGCTGGATTGGGAACTTACGTTAACGTATCATACGAGAGCAAGCTTGCTTTACCTTAGGTCTATTAGTGGGACGCAATGGAGACGGATATATATGAATGAAAGTACGGAGCAGACAGAGGCCACCAAGAGATCGCAGAGTTGACGAGTCGTATATGAGATAGTTATAGTGGCGGAACTCAGCGATACGGACCAATAGCAAAATTACCTCGCTATTAATACCTGCATGGATGCATAGAAACATATATATTACATCAGGAATTATGTTTCTGAAGCGATAGAGTGGTGTAAAATCCCACACCTTGCCGCCGGCTATATGGAAACACCCACGACTTTGTTTGATATAAGCACACAGAAACGCAGCCTTTCCATCATCACCTCGACTTAAACTCTCATAACCCAACCAACAACTTTCTTATTCCCCTACATTTTTGGGAAAGTCCTTGGGAAATGCGATCCTGACAAACCACCTGGACTATTACTCTTAGAAGGGGCAAACTGCATTACGAACCCTTCGTCTTCTGCTTTTGATCCACTCCGATATTATGGCCATTTAGTTATTTGTTGGACAGATGCCTTGAGTTCCTGATTGGTGCCCTAGGTAAATAGGTTCTAAAAAATGCAACTCACCAATCATTGAATGTTGATATCGCCGGCTAGACCTCCCACAAAGCCCAAAGCTTAATCCGGGCCTAACCCGCAAATGGACCGGGTTTCGGGCCCGGCCTTGGACCCAGCGATGGGCTATGGGCCTGAGGTAGAAACCCACTGGGCTTTTTTGGGGGCCCAATAGGCCCTAAATAATGCAAATATGCCGAAAAATCGAGATGGTAGGTAAAGTTGAGCCCCATTTATAGTTTTTTTAATTACCTTATGTATAGTGCCGTTTCTTACATCACATCTTAGGTAATGTTTTATTAATTTAAAATGATTTAGAATCAGTTACTAGTATATTTCTATAACTATCACGTTTAAAAAAGGCGAAAAAAAAAATACGTTTGTCAGATAACTAAAAGTTATAGTTAGAGATTTACCTAAAGAAAAGTAGTATTTCTAGTTATATAAATCCTAAATATAAAACTATCTAATATCAAAGTATTAACTTTTATATTTCCGTAATATCTCGACTTCTGCCGGTTCGATTCGTTTAAAATTGAACTGCATACTTATATAGCTACTATAATTTGATATTCTAAGTTAAAACTTCATACGATCAGTTGAAGGTAGTAATATAACTAGTTAGTTAGCAATTATAGAGGCCGATTTGTCAGCGCTGAGATAGGCATTAATGGGGCCGTATAGGCCCCCACATGGGCTGATTCCGCACTCTTTACGATAGGCATCTGTATACTCTATGGGAGGCACTGTATTACGTGGTTCCGGCTCGGCGTTTGGCTTCGAGTTCTTGCTTCAGTTGGATGAAGCGCCTGCATAGTCATACGCAACTAGTTAGACTGCAACAGGTTAATTGAACTTTGATTGATTGATTGATATAGCCTCCCCCCTTAAAGCCCAGTGGGCTGGGTTGGGCTTTGGACGTCGGGCCCATTTATGGGCTTTGCGGAGGTCTATCTCTGACATTTTCAAATTCCTAGTAATTTTTATGGAACTGTAGGCTAATAAAGGCTAAACAAATAGAACAAAAATAGTGGAGAATTCTCAGGAATTACGTTGACCAGTTTTGTCGAGCCCTGGAGAGTGTGATCGATGTGCGAATGGCTATTGGGTCAGCCAGTTGGCCCGATAGGGGCCACACCTCGCCTTGCCCCCAAAATGTGAATCTTGTACTCACCAATCGTTTCAGGCCCCAAGGGAATACAGATGAGCCTTTCAGAATATATTTAAAACAGTCTGGATAAGCTGTCTAGGGCTATTGAAAAACCGCATCAAATACATCATGTCTCGATGCGATACCCGTGGGGATGACAAACTCAAATTTGATGTCGCTGCACCGACGGGGTGGTCCTTCACCCCCGGCGACACCATCATTGGCAATCTCGTGCGCCGCGCACATATTGTCACCTCTGAAGCTATAGTGACGCTTACGCTGTCGAGTCGTATACACAGCCAACTGACACCCCGGAATAAAGAGAAACAGGTGTCAGATGACTGGCACCTACTTTATCCACGGGAGGAAGTGATATTCCGCGGACCTCTGCATCTGCCGGAGGGAAGCAACGAATCACTCAGCTGGCCGTTCTCGCTGCAAATCCCTACCAAGCCAGTTGATATGCTAGGGAAAAAGCGTGCACAAGCTAGTAGCTTTCTCGCGCTCAATGGAGACCAGACCACTCATCATCCACTGCCAGGAACTTTCACCACATTAGGCAGGGACTCCACCCTCGCGTCTGAGTGTTTTATCGAGTATTATCTGAGCGCCAAATTGAAGTATAACTTTGGATCGTCTCAAGTTTGTTCTGCTACTTGGAAAGTGGACATCAGGCATCCGGTCGAGGTAGTTGAAAGGAGTCAGCTTGAGCAGATCACTCACTTATCCATCGAGGGCAAAGTTCAAAGTCAGCGGCTACTGCTCGCCATGAGCGATGCAAAGCTATCCCTAAAGCAAAAAACACAGAAACTTTTCGGATCGTCCAAAGTCCCCAAGTTCTACTACCAGATCGACCTCACATCCCCTCGCATTGTGAAACTTGGTGACGCCCATAATCTTCCGCTCGTGCTACATATCGCGCTTCTCGAGGATAAGACTAGTGACTCACTCAGGGGAACCGCACAGGAAGCTCGGATCAACTGGATTAGATTGTCCCTGGTCAGCTACACCCACATTATCGTCACAGATTGCCCTCCAGTCGGAACTGTCCACAGGGATAGGCATCGGTTCTCACTTAACCTTCATCTCGAAAAAGTATTCGATAGTCTCGAATCTCCATTGATATTGCCCCTGGGACACCAAAACGCATCCATCAATATTGGGGACATGTTCCAGCTTGTTCTACACTTGACCGGCCTGACTTCTTCAGGTTTACGTCTCCATGATCCGGCTCCCATCTATCCCGACTTTGTCACATATAACATCAAGCATACCCATGCTATAGACTGGAAGATCTCGATCACAATTGCTGGAGAGACTCAAGTATTTAACCAGAGTGTGCCTTTAAAGGTGCTCAAAGAAACAAAAATACGTGAATATCCTGCTTGACGAATTCCCACATTGTACGCTTGTTTTGGTATACATTCATGTTGGCAAGGACGCCACATACACACTGCTCTTAATGAGTCAGGTCTGTTGAGGAACCACATTGGCTGTAACTCGAGATAGCTCCCCACAAATGAGTATCATCTTTACATCGCCCTTCCTGTGATGGTTTTAAGTTAGTATCTAAGCGGAGAAATTACGAGGCATCTCTCTTGGTCAGACAAATGAGACGACGATCTTCTCACACATATGGTCATTAGTTGGGTCAACCCGCGCACCACATATTGAATGATTTGCTGCTAATATCGACCTTCTCCGAAAATCTACTCCCAAAGACCTCCCACCTTGGTATCGATTGAAGAATAAGGGCGCCAATTTAGGCCCCTCATCTAGAAACACTGGTTGCCGAAGAATGGCCGCCTTTTCGAACACACTAGGTTCAAGATGCTTGTTTGGGCATAGCAGATGGTGTCCAGGACGGCTTGTAGGACGTGACGATAGAAGTTGCGGGGTTTGACTGGAATCCGCTCGGCTTCGGAGAGTGAGGCTCAGGGAACCATTACGCAAATCCTAAATATAAAGGCAGCCAGGAAGAAGGAACGGAGCGCAGCTGGATGCGAAGGACAAGGGATAAAAATAGGATCATAAACTCGACGAAGGTTGCTGGGCGACTGAGCAACCCATCAGCGTGAAAACGCCACGGCTTTTAAAATTTATGACCACGCCAAACCGTGGCTATTCCACCGACCGTACCGACCGTTCTTCCTTTTAGACGATCTTGGATATTGGATGGAGTCTGCTTCCGGTTTAGTTTTATCAATTCTGGTTTAGCGCCATCGTTGTTCCGTGCGTGTTTGTATATACCTACTCGATGAACTAAACCCGAAGATAAACCACGAAGAATAAGATCAATAATATACATAGAATCCTAGGTGCCAGGCTGAGATGAACAAAGTTATGAAAATTGTGAATTATGCAAAGGAATCTCGTGGGAGTCGATCAACCTTTGGGAGTAAACCACTCTGCTGGTAAAATCTTAAACACCCTTAACCCAATCAAAGGCGATTCTTCGGCAATTCCTCGCTGCTCACGGTCCTCTTACTGGCGGAATTAACCGACTTTAATCTAGCTTTCCCCAGAAGCTAGTTTTTGACCCGCGTTTATGGATAAATATGTGTGAAATAATACTAATTAGGAAGGTCTTGGCATTATTTTGTTTTTAAGAATGGGATCATATATCTATGACTGGGTCTGTCGGAGTCTCCGACCCAAATTTACTCTAATCTAAGCTTATCCCGTTGCGGACTAATATCATACGCGTAAAACCTTATCTCAAGCGCCAATAGAGTCGCTCCATTCAGCTTTCGAAACTTCTTACTTTGTAAACTTTTCCTATATGTAGCCCCTGAGGGCACTAGTTATATGCTACCGAACCCGAATGAAGTTTATCCGCCACGTTTGCCTCGATGAGGCGTCGATAGGCGGGAAAAAGGCTAATCACATGTTAACCCCGGAATAAAGTTCAGCTTTGGCCCGAAAATAGACCGGAAACAGGATAGAACACGAGGTGGGACACACTTACGATCTATAACGTATCTCACATACGAGCCGGCCCCACAAACGAGCCGCCCACCTCAAAACACCATAGTAAATGCGATAATTTACAACTTGATATCTCGACAATAGTTGTCTGTAGGAACCTTTCCATTTGGCCTACTGATTTTTATATGATATCAAGTCTATTTAGGGAGTTTCGAGAATTTTAATGATTTGGTGACTGAGATATATATATTTTTAGTTTTTTAGTAGTGTAATTTTTAATACCGTGATATTATAGCTATTTGATTTTATTAAAATTAATATATAGTTTTTAAACGCCTTATCAAGACCTATCGCCAGACAATAAAATAAAATCGAAATGCGGTTAGTGAGATATAAGTATAGAATATAGCGCATTTACGATGGTGTTCTGAGGTGGGCGGCTCGCATGTGTGGGCGGCTCGCATGTGAGATACGTTAAGCCTAATATGCTGACGTAAAAGATCTTGATAGTGTAACTGGAGTGCTCCCTTGCGAACTGTGGATAAAACAATCCAGAAAGCGAAATGGTTAAATTTGCTTGACTGAATCATATTTTACGGGAGAATCACTGCAAGAGAAACAGAAGCAGAAGGCTACGCACTGACTGTTTCGAATTGAACCGCTGGAGGATTCCTGTTTAATTAAGAAATGCCGGCATATTCGGTATATCCCTATAACGGAGACCTAGAACCTCCATACGGGGCAACCCACGACTCTACCATGTTAATATTCACTCGGCGCCGAGACCCTAATGGCGCTTTGGAGCTTAAACCGGGACAGAAGTCCCGATTCCATGTCTCGAATAAAAAGTGGACCCGAAGTTAAAGCATGTGCCCCGTTTCCATTCGTGAGCCATGAAATAAAATGAAATGCTCCGTTCTAGGTTATTAGAGGCCTAGTTGATTGTTTGATCGACACGTAGAAAAATTGCAAATGAGTTCGTAACCCAGATCTGATCTTTGTGGAATTTTCTCGCTTTGCTATACCCATAACGCGTCAAATTCACCGCTATTAGACCTCATTGCTTTCAGGGGATGTGAAGATTACTGGTCTATCAACCCTCGCCGCACGATGGCTTCTCTTGTTGGTGATCGGAATTCAGTCTTACAGGGCACATGGGCCCTTGGGGCCATCGCAGTCATCGTGGTGGTGCTTCGGATATTTGCAAAAGCCAGGATTCGCCATATGGGATTAGACGATGTTGCAATGATTGTATCTCTGGCAAGTTCAAGCTAATGATTGGAGGGAAATGATGATTTAAGTCCTATCTATTCTAACTCACGACATGTTTATTACAGAGTTTCGCCCTCTCCGCATCGATATTCTTCACAATCGCACTTGACTACGGCTTTGCATCCGGTCGTCCTGGAGCAGACGAGGTCCTCGCTCTTGAATACTATGTCCTAATGGAGGTTTGTAGCGTCATAAGCACATGTCTAGGCCGGGTCGCGTTCATCCTATACCTGTTGCCAGTTCTTGCAACGAGGAAATCCTTCAAGATCAGCCTATGGATACTGTTTGCGATGCAAATAGCGGCAAACCTTGTAATAGTTGTCCTCATCTTATCTCAATGCCACGATATCCGTGGGGTTTGGGATCCCAAATACGCCACGGACTGTATGGAAGACTATATTCAGGTCTATTTTGGTTACTTCCTCTGCTGTATGTCTATTCGATTCTAATGGCCCGGTCGCAGCTAGGAAAATCGCGATTTCTTAGGTTTTTGCTAACAATATCAAATTAACTATAGTCTGCAACTCCACAACAGACTTGCTGCTAGCAGTCTTTCCGTCTTATATCTTCTGGGATCTTAAGTTAAAGCCGATGATCAAGTTCAGCCTTATGATACTCACAAGTTTGGGCATTGTGTAAGTCCCTTCCTTGATCTCGTTACAATGACACCATTCTCTGGCCAAACTTACTAACAAGGACGTCTTTACCCTCCATATAGCGCAACAGTCGGTGCTATAATGAAGGCTGTATATCTCCGACAGATCTTAACCTGGGATAGTACAGCCAATGCGATAGAGCTCACCTGCTGGGCTATGATCGAATGCTATCTTGTCATTATCTCCGCATCGGTTCCCTGCCTTCGTTCGCTAGTTATTTCTTCCGTGCGCCAGTTGTTCGCAAGCGATAAGTCGAGCAATTTTCCTATTACTTCATTGTATAGGAATGGAACAGCAAGCCATCAGCGCGCGACGAATCGCGTACAAACCAATCCCGAGGCCTCTGGGAGTAGGCAGAATTTCTTTTCGGGTGCACGGGGCGAGGATATAGAGATGGGGGCTACTAGGACTTCTGTAAATGCCAATGACAGTGATGATGGAGGGGGGTTAACCGGGGATGGAATTGCAAAGACGGTGGATATTAGTGTTACTTGGGAGGAGGGACATCGCAGAGACCGTGTTCCCTAGTGCGTTGTACAAGAGATATACACAAGCAGATTATATTCTGGAGTAATCAAATTAATGTTAGAACGTTATCATGGTCAAGGATAATATACTATGAATGTTACGTGCCAGGTCGATCAATGAAGAAAGAGTGCATTCCAACTACAATAACAAAGATAGAGAAGAAAGATAGAGAAAGAGAGAGGTGGGGGATCTCTGGGGTTTCAATAGCAGAGCCTCCCACATAAAAAGCATACTCTCCTTCCCGGTTAGGACCAGTAGCAATCTATAGAACAAAAAACCAAAGTAAACAAAGAAAGCAAGCATGCATGTGATCACGTAAATCGTGACAATGAAGCCCTCTTACCCTATAAATTGATATGATTATAATATAAGTCTTGATAGTAGTGACAGAAATCTAGCTGTATAACGAGGTATGGTTGGGATGACTAACTATAATATGCACTTTTGTATAACTAATATGTTTATACCAGTAGCTATATAGTTGTTAGGGTATAATACCCTGTTGTTGCGCGTTGCTAACTAGTTACAGTTATGTTAGAAGGGTGCCGGGTTATACTTGGGCTACACGGATGTAACTTAAAATAACTGTAGTGAAGTTGTACGAGGCATCTATCTCTCGGTATTTCCCAGCATGGGTCTCTACGCAGACCATCTCAGGGGGCCCACCATAATGTCGGCAAACTGTTCCTTCAACTATCCACATTCTTATTCCAACAGAGGATAAAGCATTGATACAAGGATGGAATCGTATTTGGGTTAGTGTGTATAAGATGGAAGCGTAGTATTTATTTGTGCCATGTTCCTATACCGATCTAAGTCCTCCGTTTACACGATTATCTATCCTATAGTCCGCAATGTGTGACCTTCCACGCGTTAACAACTTCGGGGTGGCGGTATTGCCAATGAAAAACAAATTCTACTTCTTGATACTCAAGCCCGCGTAATGGTCATAATTATTATTTGGGTGTTATTATATATCACAGCGAAGGTATCATATAAAGAATCTAAAGATCATCAGTCATTATAATGTCCGTGTCGTATGTCTCCATAGCTTCTCGAGGATCGTAATCTGTCAAATAGTTTCCCAGATAATCGGCTAATTCGTCATTATCTGAGAGAAGCATAGTATCATGATCATGGTATGAAGTCTGAGAAGACCCAATTATTGAGAATAACGTGTCAAGGGATGTCTGAGTGGAATCCCCGAGGTCTGTGAAGCTTGTCTCGCTGAAATTGTCCAAAAGCTGGTCCTCGGGTTCACCATTCAACAGATAAACGTCACATTCATTCTCGTCGTGATATTGTGTTTGAAAAGAACGAGGCTGTCCCGGATTTCCGTTGTCGGGTTGTTGCTGAACTGTAGACATGAGACGCACCGGCTCGTCTAGCCTAGTCACTCCGTTTGATAAACTCTCCGTAGAGAACATCGAAGCTCGCCATTTGATTGGTTTCAAATTGGGAACATTTTTCTGGGCGACACGCCAAAGTGATGAGAGGATTGCAGTTCTGCAACTTGAAAGTTGAGGCTTCATTGTTAAATCATTCATGCTGTGGGAGTGATTGAGCTCTAACAAATCCGCTAATTTAGCTTTGGTGGATTGATCCTTGTTTCCTGCTAGCATAGACAATATGGCTTTCGTGATTATTGGAATTGTCACTCCTCGTTGGTTGATCGCCTGGGTGAAATTAGTGCTTGAGCTGCATGACTGAGATTGAGAACTCACATCACGGTATGCAGGATTGAACACGGCGGGGGAGATATCTGCGAGGCTCTTGATCGTGTCCTGTTGTGAGACACGAATCGCGCGATCTTTGATCGAGTTGGAAATCACCAGTCTTCGAATTCCAAGGTCGAGCAGTTGAAAGAGTTCCTCCCATGATGGATCTGATCCATCTCCAGATATGCAAGCAGTCTGTGGTCCAAGAGCTCTAGAGGAATCCTCGTCATGCGTTGAATGTTGCATTGCAGCTTCTGTTATCCTATCTAGCCCTTGAGAACTGGTACCAACGGATGGTTCTTGTCCAAGAAGACCAATCCCGATGTTGGAATAGTCCTGGGATTGTGATATGTCCTTGGCGTGAAAACGATACTCCAGCCGAACGTCAATTGAAGCCAAGGTAGCTACCGGTAAGCCGGGGTGAGGGCACGCATCTGGGGGATTGGTCATTGAACTAGGCAAAGTCCGGCCCGTTGTGTGGTTCCGTACACGACACTCTCTGCGCAGACCAAATTCGAGGCAGTGGAAACCAGATGTATCAATGCAATAACGTGCACCCGTCTTGAGCTCAACTGAGAATCCCATATCCGACCAGATCTGGAGGAAGGAATAATTAGTCTCCGATTTGGCCAATATTTTCTCACACAAACCTCCATATCACAGAGTTTGCTGCCCAGCCTCGAGACGAATACCCTTATTTTATTTCCGTCCCAATTTCCCCCGACGAAGAAGCGCAGCTCCAACTCTGGTGACTCTGTTATCCACAAACTTTCAAAATTTGACAATTCCGAGAGGTCAATTGGTATTTGAAGGGTTCCGTGGCTTGGTGGTTGGGTGAAATGAGCCGATGCGGCCAGGTGAAGCTGCAACTTTGAATCTCGGATTCGCAGAGTGGAGTGACCCAAGTCGAGCTTCTGTGCCATTGTGAAGGAAGATCACCATCAAAACATTATACTATTCTTTTTGAAACCGAGGCAATCTTTTGAACGAGCGATTTGGGGATTCGTGGGGCGCTAGAGCGGGAAAGGAATCGCTAGACTGGGTATGTCCATGACCGTACAGTACATAGACGGGGCACATGACTTCCAGTACACTTTGTCTGATAATACGTGTGCTCAATTCTTAAAGATCAGTTCAATTTTACTTTTGATATCAGTTGGGGCTTTATATATATTTGTGGCATAGGCTCGGCTGGAAAACTAGATTCCTATTACAGACCTTGGTTGAAATGGATATTGATGCTGAGCTCTGATCACGGCTTAATAGCAACACATCTCAGACTGGCATATGTGATCCATTGACTGCCATCTTCTCTTGTGGTGCCGTAGCGCAGCATTCGGCAGATTTGCTCCACGGCACTGTTCTTTTTCTCCTCGCTATCCAAAAGATCCAGCATCTGAGCGCCGATCAGTCTCATGAATCCTTCCAGTCCACCATTATCACAGGATGTCAGCTCCAACGAATGCAGATCAAGTTTAATCATCTTAACCTGAAATCCAACGCTCTCGAGAATGTTCTTCATATAGACGTCGGAGGGATAAAACCAAGGGCACATAGCCTCCGCTGTCTCGATTGGGACTCCATGGTTGACCAGAGCGAACATAAATCCTGTGACCTTTTCCGGTGCATTTCCATGCCCGCACATCTCAAAGAAGAATGTGCCCCCAGGCTTCATTGATTGAAAGATATTCTTCAATGTGGAGATACGGGTAGACGGGTCTTTCAAGATCCAATGGAATGCAGCATTGGAGGCGCTAAAAATTGTATCAGCAAGGCTCCACCAGTAAGTGGAAACACGAATACTAACACTTTGTCCCAGTTCCCATACATAACGTCTGCATCTTCTTCAAGGTGCCGACAATCGAGAACGCGGAAATCTGTGGCTGCTCCACCGTATTCCAATGTCTTGGCCGTGTTGATCATGGACGGAGAAGAGTCGACGCCCATAACATAATTGACCGAGGGAGCAAAGCTGGTAGTAAATTTGCCATCACCACATCCAATATCGAGAACTCTATCCGTAGGATCGAATTCTATGCTTTGGACGAGGGTGTCGGCAAAATGCGGGACGAAGGAAGCCGCAGCTGCATAGGTCTATATTCATCAGCGCATACAAGATAAGGCAAAAATTCGCGACTACAAACCTCCGTAGACCAATAGTCTTTTACTGGATCCTGTGTCTGGGCCATTTTCCAAGTACATTCGGAGATATATGAACACTTCACGCGGATGATTAGAATTAGAATAACACAAGAGAGCTTAGAGAGCGGTGTACGGTTCATTTAAGAAAATCTCTATTTCTGATCGATCAATACATGCACCCATGACATGATTCAAATCTTCAGCCTGGAACCCGCTGTTATCCGAGGCCTGTGTATATCTACCATGCGGTTCTCCAAGCTCCACTGGGATGACGTGGTACCCATGGTAAAAGGACCACTATGAATCTTCCCAGTCAGGTTTCAGCTCGCCGCAACTCAGTACCACATACATCGATGCAGAACCATCTTAGTCGCAGCTCCCCGCTTCAGTCACTTAAATCAGAAGAACTTGACATCGATGTAGCAAGCCATATAGGGAAATGAACTGTACTCTATCTTTTTCCATACTTAAAAGGCAATGACCGCACTTTCTACAAAATGAGATTTGCAAGCAAACTTTTTGCCAGCCATGAGAAAGATTCTAGACTTTTTCCGTCTCAGGGTATATTTGGACGCGAGTAATTGAAATGATAATATCCCATGGAAAATGTACATGACCATGCCAAGCGCCCAACACACCGCCACCAGATAACCAATCTACAATCTATGTATCTTTTGTATTCCTTCCCTATACAAAAGCTACTTCTGTCCCTCGTAGACGTCATGCAAATTTCTCAACCCTTGAACTAACTAAAGTAAGAGAAAGAGTATAGATGTATAAGATAACTCTAGCTTAATTAATTTAATAACTAATCTTAATTCTCGATATCTAATGTGGATGAAGGATAATATTTTAAAAAAAAGTCCCTGTGGATTGGTAAGTCGCTCCAGCGATCAGCACTAAATTGCTCTTGATTTGAGAATAACTTGGCATGAATCTACAAAATAGTCTTCAGCTCATGGCGTTTTTTGGTCCCATCTGACCATTATCTCACCGCACCGGCCGCTAGGAGAGATCATGCGTAAACCTGAGCACTATCAGGTCTATGTGCATGTTCGTTTCTGGAAATGCACCGAGTCCCGTAGCTAGTAGATAAGGCTAGGCCAGCCACTCCTAATGCAGCCACCGCCACATATAGCCATGGCGAAGTTAGCCAAAAATTTCCCGGACCATCCAGTGTAGGTCCCAACATGGGTACATAGTCAATCAAGCCCTTGTTAGACTCGCTATCATTTCACATGCGAATGGATCACATAAGCGTGTGGATCAACCAAAAACACATAGTAAATGCTGTCGAATACCAAGTTCGAATACATGGTAGAAACCAGGTATTATACCGGAAACATCATGTGACATTGGGTACCAGGCATACCATACAAAAGTGCATATTACAGTTAGTCATCATGGTCCGCACAGATTGTTGAAAAAGCGGGTTTTGTGTTTGGATTTGTCGAGGAAAACAATAAGGCCCTCTTCTACTACCGCACCATTGTCGAGGGCAATGGCTTTGGAGAAAACTATGAGCCTGTGGATGCCTGCAGTGACATGAGTCATTTAGTTTCAACCTACTTGAGGCCTGGCAAGTAATTGCCGAAACTTTTGGAAATCTTGGAGGACGCGGGACTTGGGGAATCTAGTTAGATTTAGTGCAATAAAGCTGTAGGAGCGGATTAGCGCCTCAGTTCATATCTCTTAACACTCCTATAGGAACATGTGGCCCTTGAGAGATTCAAACATACTTCAGCTGAATAAAGCGCCTACATAGTCATACGCAACTAGTTAGACTGCAACGGGTTAATTGAACTTTGATTGATTGATTGATCGATTGGGGGAAATTCTGAGACGATATAACGATTCAAGCTACTTGGTCCTCCATAGTAGTAGATAGATATCTACTTTCCTCCTATCTCTCTTCGTAGCACTTGCAGCACTACAATACAACATCATGTACCTCCATGACCCCACCTACCAGCCCGTAGGCTTCAACAGGTTATGAGCCCGGGGACTCGTTATTGATCTGATCTTACAATCTATCAATATCCTCGGTTCTGTGCTATAATCAAAGTACTATCTAAACAGTACCAACATGACCATCGAAGTAGTGTCCTACGAGTCCTCCCCTGTAAAACTCGCCTCCCTCACATCCACAATCAAAGAGGCAATATTGCAATATTCGCAGGCTGAGTCCAAATCAGGGAGAATAACCGCTCTAAAAATAGTTGATGTGGCCTCCTAGAAGCTTGCACAATGCGCAGTGGAAGCGGGCAGGCACAGCTTTGGGGTTTACCAGGCGCATCGTGCGCGCTCCAGGGGGATTGAAAATCTTCGAAGAGGTTGAAGAGGATACATCTAAGCAAACCGCATTGTCTCAATAATGGGACAACAGTTCATGCAGTCATATACCAGACATTCATGGGATAATGTGTTTAGACCCATGTCTTCATACATTGATTTCTTCAAGACTACAGGTTTCACGGGCCCCTACGATGGAATGAACACGCCTTTTGTATTTTCGAAGGGAGTCAAGTTTGTAGAATTTTCAATATGCAACAAGATCCCAAAGTCGCAACGACATTCGACGAAGCCATGACAAGTTTCACAGACCCCGTGGGTGACTTATATGGCTTCAGCAGCCTTCAAGCCGAGGAACGAGAAGTTGTCCTAGTCGATATTGGTGGCGGAAAAGGTCAAAGCATCCAGAGCATACAATGCTCATAGCCAAACCTCAAGGGCCACTATATCCTCCAGGATTTGCGAGCGGTCATTGCGGCTGGAGATAGGGTGTGTCCGCCCGAGGTCGAAGTGCAACTTTGCAACTTTTTTGAAGAGGTGTAGCCTGTGAAAGGCAGGTGAACAGAGTCATAGTAAGAATTGACATACCGATTATTCTTTAAGTGCTGAGGTATACATATGCAAGCTCATATAGCATGACTATCAAGGTGCTAAATGCAGAACGATTATCCGAAACTTGGCGCCGGAAATGAGGGCTATAACTCAAAGCTTCTCATTTGCAGTATTGTCCTGATAGACACTTAGGTAGATATATAAACGGTTCTTTATGGTATCAATCTGTTTTTCATGGCTGGTAAAGAGCGCAGTGTGAATCAATGGCATGCTCTCATGGAACGGACCGAATTATCGGGCCGAAGAATCTTGTTCGCAGCATCATTGAAGTGTGTTACATAAGTAACTAGTCTTTGTTCTTGCAGCTTTCTAAATACACAAGAACATTTTTGGAATTGTTAGAGAGTTTGATCAATCGCCTCTAAGAGATATATAACCAGGGTCTATCATTTCGATGCTGTAGCCTTATCCCATCACTTTTTCCAGCGAAATAGGGGGTAGAAAAGTTTCTGGGAGTTAGTTCACATTTCATTTAAAGTGACACGAAAAGACGTAAAAAAAAGCGAGACATACCTTTAGGACTGAGAAGTGGAGGTGATAACCTTTGTTGGTTTGTATGTACTGCTACTGTCTCAGTTGATTCTACGCAATGAACTGTGACTTTTCATTTCTAACTATAGCCATTCATTCGTTTGTATTCAGCTCTCCATAGGTAATTATTTGTCATTAGCCAGGCACAAACAGTGGAGTACCCGTTGACGCGCACATGGTAAACCGTGGTTATCTCTTATCGGACCAAAGAAGTTTTATCGATAAGCTATCACGTGTGGCCTCCATCCAGGTGGCCTGAAAGTAACCGTTACACTTCCAACTAACTAAGGTCAGCGATGCCAGGGGATGAGTTGTCAGAGGATCACCTGTATGCCCAGAATGGCCAGGATGAACACGAAGCTCAATCACTTCTGTCTGCCTCGAGTGTGGAGCAGGACCTAGCTTTCCACCCAGAGCCTCTTCCGTCGCCGATCCCCTCACATAACGCGACAGATGGCACACGCCACTCCTCTATCTCTCAACCTACGGCAGACGGAAAGCGCCGCACACCCCGTACCATGAATCGAGTTCGATTTGACCTGCAGGAAGAGCCCGAAGACCCCAATCGCATTTCCATTGAGCGTGCCCTCAGCCCAGACGACAGTCCAGACGACACGCTATGGCTAGAGGATGAGGACTATGAAATTGGAAATCGGGGCCCAAGAACACACCACAATGGACAATCAATTCCTCTTCTCACAAACATTGAAGCGCCTAGTGTGACACTTGCGACATCGGACGATTTCTTCCCTGAAGACCATCTCGAAGATGCACGGCCACGGAGTGGGATGAAAATGGCGTTCATGAACATGGCCAACAGCATTATCGGGGCTGGAATTATTGGGCAACCTTATGCGCTTCGGCAGGCAGGTATGACAGTGGGAATTCTGCTGTTGACTGCCTTGACCATCACTGTGGATTGGACCATTCGATTGATTGTGATCAACTCTAAATTGAGTGGTGCGGATTCGTTCCAGGCGACTATGCAGCATTGTTTTGGGAAACCCGGTCTCATCGCAATATCGGCTGCGCAGTGGGCATTTGCATTCGGCGGCATGGTCGCATTCTGTATTATTGTTGGCGATACCATTCCACACGTTCTAAGCGCTTTGTTTCCCTCTCTTAGGGATATGTCATTCCTATGGCTCCTCACAGATCGCCGGGCCGTTATCGTTATCTTTGTTTTGGTTGTTTCATACCCATTGTCTTTGTATAGAGACATCGCCAAGGTCAGATCTCTCTTTCCTCACTGCTTATCAGACACTAACGGTCAGGTAGCTGGCAAAAGCGTCTGCCTTGGCATTGGTCAGCATGATAGTCATTGTTGTCACTGTTATAACCCAGGGTTTCCGGGTGCCGCCTGAATCGCGCGGAGAGATTAAAAGCCACCTCATATTCAACACTGGCTTTTTCCAAGCTGTTGGGGTGATCTCTTTTGGTATATTTCAGCTGTCCCTATTAATAATTGGAAAGTCTGCTAACAATTTCTAGCTTTTGTTTGTCGTATGTCCCTTCTTATCCCACTGATATCACAATTGTTAATTTCCACAGACCACAACAGTCTTCTGATCTACGGCTCATTGAAAAGGCCGACGCTCGACCGTTTCACCCGGGTCACTCATTACTCGACAGGAATATCTCTACTGATGTGCCTAGCAATGGGCATCGCAGGGTTCCTGTCCTTCGGGTCTAAAACCCAGGGCAATGTTCTGAACAACTTTCCATCAGACAATATCGTTGTCAATATCGCACGATTGTAAAATCTTACCATTGATCTTGATAAGGAACTTTTGGCTGATTTCGAATAGTTGCTTTGGCCTGAACATGTTGACGACACTACCGCTTGAGGCGTTCGTCTGCCGTTCCGTCATGACAACATACTACTTTCCCGACGAACCGCACAACAGTGTTCGCCATGTTATCTTCACAACGGCACTAGTGGTGACTTCGATGGTGTTGTCCTTGATAACCTGTGATCTGGGAAGTGTTTTTGAGCTCATTGGCGCGACCAGTGCTGCTGCTCTAGCCTATATATTCCCTCCTCTCTGTTACATTAAACTAAGCAGTGCTACGCGGCGGGAGAAGATCCCGGCGTATCTCTGCATTTGCTTTGGGGTGCTTGTGATGGGTGTGAGTCTAGTGCAGGCAGTCGTCAAGATCATTCGAAGTAAGTCTGTCCCGGGACATGGTCGCAATTGTACCCAATTGGATGGCTATTTGGTTGCACTCTCGGCATATATACTAATATAATGTTGTCCTTATAGATGACGGCGAGGCTCATAGTTGCAGTGCATCCTAGGACTTTTTGAGGACTTTCCACCGATGGCGGCGGCTTATACATTCAGTGTGCCCGAGAAGTCTCTTGGGGCCGTGTTGCTATGTACATATGTATCCAGTTTGAACAAATATCTGTTGTGTATGATACGCTACAATACTCTCATTCACAAATCACTATGTGCCGTTGTTTCTGTAGGGGTGACTTGCAACGTCTAAGGATAAGTAGCAGGTATCTCTGTAGATGCTGTGCCTAGGTAAATAGCATGTACGTATACCCTAGAGTCAGACCAAGTACGGTGAACAACACCTTCCTTGTGCTAGCGACTGGGCACGTGCACTTTGCGACTTCGGCTTCGCAATCCGTTCGCTTCGTTTCTCATCTTCTACAACTCCGCTCACTCTTTGCATCCCAAAACTCCACGATTTATATCAATGGCTTTATAGCATATATCTATAGGCTTCGCTATCACGTGGACGTTTTCACGTGCCTAAAAATGACTCCCACGTGCACATGCCATTGCCCAAGGCGAAAAGACCTCGACGGAAGGTGCGACGGACTCGCGGCTTCGTTGCGACCTTGGAGTCATACTATGCAGCTTTGTCCCTACCAAAAACAGCAATCCAAATGTTTGCCCATTCACAGACGCGTCGCGTCTTTGATTCCAACTGGTCCTGATCGTTCCTTTATTTACCCTCTTCCCATCTTCTCTCTTTCTTCCTTCTACAACCACTCTCTCCCCGTTCTTTTGCCTCTCACTTCGTCTACTTCCATTTGAACCCACACAGTGGTTCTCACGATTCTCGTTTCGGGTTACAAATCTTCTTGCTGTCTTTCACTTGTCTCTTTCGCTTTTCGGACTTCGAAGTCCTTAGAGTAACTCCACTTGTGATCTGTCCCTTAGGGACCCTGCTTGGGCTTTTTTCAAGCCTCGATTCATCTGTCCTTCCTTCGATGGACCATTGCTTCTGAGGTCACATTGACCTGCCAGTACACTCTCTCTGGGAACCACCGTCTCCCACACTCTTACCTCTAATCTCCCTCCTCTCGCTCCTCCCTCGCCCTTCGTACTTTAATCAATTAAAGCACAATTCTGACCCGTTGGCACGTTGACACATTGATAACAACGTGCCACGCAACTGCACCTATCATCCTCACATTACCTTCATCGACGCTTCACCCGCCGCGGGAAGCGTATCGGCAAGATGAGCGAATCCGCGGAGCAGCTCCGCAGGATGCAAATTATCCAAATGGTAATATCTAGTCTCTCACTTCTGCTCTTACCTTTCTAACGGCATCAACAGGCGGACCTAGGGACCGCGCGGCGTGAAATGATTTCGACCGCCGATATCAATAATCAGGCTCGCACACAGCTTGCCGAGATTGAATCAAAGCGACTGATCGATCAGAGAGATGAAGCTCAATTGAGCAAATGGGCAAGTAAGTGCTGAAGAAGAGACCCCTGTGCCTCTCTGAATTTGTACTAAATTTTGTTGCAGACTTCCACACTCAGATCGTAGATACTCATGGAATGGAGGAACTCGATGACATCGATTCCGGCCAGTCTCACCGAGCTAATTTGCACGCAATGTTGCATCCCGATGGAAGACAACCACGGATTCACACCAATCATCCTTACCCAACTCCATCTGCAGGTCGCGGTGGTGGTGTCATGGGAAAGAGAGGACGAGGTGGTTTTGCTCCCCCTCCTCCCCAGGGACCTGCTGATCTTCATCTTGCTTTTGAAAGGTAAGAATTTGATTTACTCCATCCAACATTCAAGACATCGCAATTGACGAAAGAGGAATTACAGAGCCGCATTCCGGGGAAATATTGGTCGCCCAGGACGCCAAGGACGCCCAGGACCGCGCGCTCGCTCGACCACAATGTCGGCTAGTAGTCATTTGGACCCTGCGCTGAACTGTAACAATGATGATAGTGATGCTCACGAGCGAGGAAGGGGACGCGGGCGTGGCAAGGGTAAAGTAAAGGGAAATTCCCAGGAGCAGGTCCACGGTACGTTTTGATTACCAGTACAGAAAGAGAGCACAGCTGACAACGTTCTTAGTTCCGTCCGCCCCTGGCAGACTTCAGCGGCAGCCTCCAGGGCAAGTGATCAGACTTCTTTTAGTGAAGTCTATATGCTAACTTATTGGTCAGCATCAATTTTGCCACCAGAATCTCCGAGCCTGCCGACTTCATGTCCTCATTTCAGTCTCGCCGAGCAACTGAAACGTACACCAAGTCTACTGGTACAACCGTTTCCGCTCCAATGCAGAAGACTGAATCTGCACAAGAACCCGTTCCGGCCAAAGAGCCAAAGCCCAAAATGCCTCCGAGTAGTACACCCAAGAAGAAGACAGCGAGCATTCTGTCTTCGAAGCATGCGTCCTCACCTGTGGCAACATTGACGACTCCATCTTGTGCCATCCCCATTGATCAGCCACACATTGGATCCTATCTAGTGGAAACACCACTACCGGCTCGTGTTGTTCCTCTTGATAAGACTGCATCCTTCAAATCCCGCAAGACCCAGCCTGATACACCCAAATCATCTCAACCACATAATAAAACTCTTCGAGTGGAAGTACCCACCCAACCAGCATCTCATTTTGTTTCTGTCCAACAAAGCGCCAAGTCCAAAAAGGGAAAAGACATGGCGGGTAGTTCCCAGGCTCCTTATCCAGCAGTGGTCGCAATCGCCGCGGATGAAATTCAATGGAAGATTTCGCCCGGCGAAGAGCCACGAAAGAAGGGCACGGCTCCTCCAACCAAAATGGCAGTCTCATCTAAAACCTCCATACCCCTCGCTGAGGCTAAGGAGGCACCAGTCGCCAAGGTCACCCAAATCAAAGAAAGCAATGCCCCTCCTGGTATCCAGACGGGGAAGACCAAGCAGAAAGCCCAGTTCCAAGATCTTCTCAGCGAGGATGACTCACCGGTCAATGCATCACCGCCAACCCCTCGTCATTTGAAGACAGTGGCTATCCAAAGTCCAGGTACTGCAGAATTGGCAGGTCTCAAGTTTGCTGACAAGGCCGGGAGGTCAGTGCCAGTCAAGAGCATTGACGAAGTCATTGCGCCCAAAACAACGATCAATGAGATCGAGGAAGTGCAATCTCGCCGCAACGATCTAATTCAAGAACTTGAAAACTTCAGTATCTATGGTCCGCAGATTATTGAGGAACTTCGAGACATCCGCAGGCACATTCGTTCGCCCCAAGACTTGGCTACTACCCGTGATATCGAACGCATACTTGAATCGAAATTGCTCCAATTGGTCCCCACAGCATATGCACCACCGCCTGCAGCATCTGCAGCCTCTGAAATTGAAAATCGGCTGGGTAATCTGGTTGCACTTGTTGAGTATCTTTCAACACCACAGCAAGCAACTAATGCCGTTGAAGTTCCTTCGGCTGCCCGGCGCGACCTTACCCCCTTTGAGGGACACCGATCGCCACCTCCGCCTTCGTCTAGTTCAAACTCACCCCCGTCTGCTGATAAACGCGCGCACAAGGTATGTGTGCCTGGCCTCTCGCCAATCAGGAGTGAGAGTTCCGACATCATTTCGCAGTTCGAACCCCTTCAGGTCTCGGACAAACTCGTTGCGCCCCTCCAGCCTCAGCGTGTGGTCCCTGTTCCAGCACTTCGTCTGCTTAATATCCCAAAGATTACCACTGCCTCCAATGCGTCTGTTCATGTTACTCCTGTTCTGGCGTCACCCCCAAAGGAAGCAACCAAAAAGCCACGGACTCTTGACGATTCGATCTTTGCAGGACTTGTAGGCCCTATCACTTCCAATGCTAACTTTATTCAACCTGATTCGGTGCAATCCCAGACCATGACTCGGGGGTTGAAAGCAAATCATCCGAACATTCCCAAGCAACAGGATGTTTACTCAACCAGCGTTCGTACAATCGGCCCTGCGCCATACAAACCCCGCGTGATCGGCCCTGCTCCCAGTCCCTATGAACCAACCACTCTGCGGGATGTTCCAGCAACCCACATTCGCACTATTTCTGCCCAGCATACTAATACTGAGAATCGGACCTCCTTGGATGTTGCCAATGGTGCTTCGAGCTCCATGGGTCAATCCAGTGGCCCAGCTTCCCTGCAAGCTCCAGGCCGACTGTTCTCGATGCCTGATCCTGCGACAATTCCCCAGTCGAAGGAGAAGCCTACTGGTTCTTTCCTTTCCAACGGATCTCGTCGCTAGTTAACGGGATCCAATTTCCAGAGTCGGAGTTTCGGTGGATCTCTTCTACTGGCCTCAGCCAGCTCTAATCATCTATGGTCTTGACTTCAGTGTTGTTTTCATCCTTTCCGTGGCCTAGTTGAGCTTTGAGTTCTTTCGCTTTTCCGAGCTGAATGATGTTCTTATTTTCAGTTGTTCAAATGTTCAAAAGCGAAAGATCAATGATCGTTTAACGGGCTTTGTATGATTAACCAAATACTTGAACCCCCAATGAATTGATCAATTTTTTTTTCACCTAAATTTAAATGTAAGTAGTCTATCTCATAGAGCCAAAGGGAAAAGCAAACCCTGAGGTCAGGCATGTAGTCAGGAAGGTATGGCCCTGACTGTTAATTGGATGGATCTAACATACATAAGCTGTTAGGAAGCTAGATATAGGGCAATAGAAATTATAGACTATTGGTTATAGATATTGTAATTTACAATTGACAAGGTGTATAGGATGCCCCGGGGCTGCTTGGTGGAATACGTCCAGTCTCAAGATAATGCAATACATTTATAGTATGAGGTAAGCACTAAGTCTACCTAGGTACTAGTGGACATGGATGATGCCAACGTACCTTGACCTTGTCCTGTCCTTTGTTCTTTTTGTTCACTTCAAAAGCCGATACTCCATACACCTTCGCGAAAGAAAAAAAAAAGTATTTAGGTGAAATGCATTGACTTCCCGAGCGCAAGAAAACTAGACGATGGAGACGAAAAAAAAATCCAATTATTCCGTTGAGCATCGCCGTGCGCAAAATCGCTTGGCTCAGCGCAGGTTCCGTCGTAAGTAGCCAGTCAATGTCCCGTGTCATCGGAGGCTTTACATCTACTGATCAGTTCTCCAGAACGGCAGAGCCAACAGAAAGCCAAGGCAGATCAACCACTCCAGCAGACTCTAGAAACACCCATACCAGCGACCGATAACCCATCTGACATTTTCAAATTCTCGACTGGAACCTGGCCGACACACCCGAGCCCTATCAAATCCCCGGGCGGGTCCATCGGGTTTGGCGTCAACTGCCTACACGGCGGCGCCAATGGACTGATCGGCATCCAAAATTTCATAAATATGGACGATTTGAAGGGCTCGCCCCTATCAACTCTCCTTGCAGGCCCGTTACCGGGCATATTTGATACCGATTCTGCTGAGCATACCCTCTCCAGCAGCGATCGAGACTCCAACTCCAAGCATTCAAGTCATCTAGCAAGCAGAGGCGAAAGCAGCACTCATAGAACTACACCCGACTCTTTCGACACAAGCTCTCTACCGAAAGTGCTAACAGACAAATCAACGCCCGCCAGTGCAGGTAGCGCCAGCACACTCTTCCCCAGAACAACACAATGCGACGATGCAGACTCAGGCTGCCTTTCAGCGCTTCATATAGCTGCGCAGAAGGGACACCACGGGATCATGCGCGTGCTACTCCAGCAGGATATTGACTGTGACGAGGTCGATAGCGATGGGCTCACATCCTTAATCCACGCGATAATCGGCGGCCACGAAGATGTTGTCACATTGCTGCTTATGCATGGGGCGCGTATAGACAAAGTCGACCGCCAAGGCCGCTCGGTGCTACATTTCGCAGTTACTTATCGCCGCGAGGTGATATTGACGATTTTGTTAGATTACTGCGTGGGCGACCAGGAATTCATTGATGCTTATGATAGTGGCGGACGCACGCCACTGCATATTGCGGTCGATACCGGGTTCGAGGAGGGCGTGCAAGTCCTCTTGCAACGTGGAGCTAGTGTACATTGTAAAACTAGGAAGACGGTGGCTCCATGAGGTGGGATATATATACATGGGTACGTCAGACGCGAATATCAACGAGGGCAGTTCAAAATGGACCAGCATATCCCTGTCTGTCAATATCCTCACGATCCAACCTTCATAATCTGCTCCACAACATCCAACCCTGTCAACTTCTTCAGCGTCCCATCAAACATCCCAAATGGCAGAACACTAATCAGCCACACAATCCAAGCTTGCTCTCCCCTCCAGATAACAGGGGGCGGCTTCTTCTTCAACAAATCACCCACCACAGCCGTTGCCCACTGCAAAGTCGGCATTCCGCCTTCGGCAAAGGCATCCTGACTCAACGCCTTCTCCACCACCTCACGCGCTGGATAATAGATGGATTTCTCTGGAAGAGTCGGCGGCTTTGCCTCCTTTTGATTTTTGATCAGATTGGAGCGCACCACCCCAGTCTTCAAATCGACAACAGTGATTCCCAAGATACCCAGCTCGAGTCGCAGAGTGTCAGATAACATGGCAATAGCGGCCTTGGATGCCGTGTACACGCCCTGGAATGGCAGTACAGCGACAGAGCCCACAGAGGATTGGTTGACGATCAAACCGCCGTGTGGACTCTTTAGCAACAGAGGCAAGAACGCCTGCGTGACCTCGATATAACTCCAGACGTTCAAATCGAATAAACGTTTAGCGTCGGCGATGTCCACGTCAGCTATGGGCATGAGATACTCGGCACCAGCGTTGTTGACCAAGATGTCGAGATTGGGAAGCTTTGTCACGACGTTCTTGATCGACTCGCTGGACAGCACATCTAGCGTGAGAGTTTCGATCCCGGCGGATGAAACCTGGCCTAGTTTTGAGGGATTCCGGGCTGTGGCGTAGACCTTTAGACCGGCGGCGTGGAAGGCGAGGGCGAGGGCGGCTCCGAGGCCGCCGTCGGAACAGCCGGTGATCAGGACGGTGCGGGCCATTTGGGGTTTTGGGGGTCTCTATACGCAAAGGTGATATTGAAGACACTGTATAGTCTGGATATCAAGGAGTCGCAGGGATATATATACGTTCATCTTTCCGATTTCTTTATTCCCCTGGAAAGAGTAATGATATACTGGTTCATTCTCCCGGCTCCGATCTTGAAGCCAATCGACATAGTTGTTGATTACCTCCCAGAGAAGTTGATTACCCGTGCCAAGACCGATCAACCGGTTCAATGTACCATATGTACCTTTTGTATGGGCTCCACAGCCAAAGGGTACATGCAACCATCCGATTTGGTCTAGACGCGGGTGTCCTGATTACCCGATCGGGTCAGCCTGATAGTTTACATCTTACAATCAATTTTACAATCAATTGTGATAGGGTGGAATTGGACTCGGGGTTGTTATAATCGGTGGAATTAATGATAATTGACAAATTGTTTCACGATGAAGTCTAATGGACAAGCAAGGCATGATCACGACCGCCAAGTCCCATGTAATATTTAGCCCTAACAACCCCCACCTAGGCATAAATCTTGGATGATGACCGTGTCTAGATTTTGAAAGCAGTCGCCGAATGCATTTGTAATCACATTGCTCACATTTTCTTACATATGTGACGCATTTTGGGGACCTCGCCTTCGTGGCCGTCTTCTGAGAGACCATACGTGGCCTTGAGACGTTGAAGTGCTTCAATCTTTTCAAGCGATTTATGCAAGGGAAAGGCTTGGCCCCAATCTAGTCACAAGTGCTCCGTACTCCGTACAATTGTACCGTTTATGATAATGACGCGGCAAAAAAAAAGTACTGAGAATAATATAATCTAGAGTAAAAAAGAATAAGAAAAGGGGGTTAAACACGACCTATCACACTACATACTCTACCCAATCACCGCACAGTGCAAATCCACCGAATTAGAACGAAAAAGAAAGCAAAACTGTTTCGGGTTATGCATCCGCCTAGAATATCCCATCCCAACTTAGCGGACCAAGCAAGACCTCCTTCCGGCGGGGTGTTCTGCGTATGTTCTTAACAAATCGAGTAGATCGTATATCCAATATGAATGATTTGTCGGGGAACAACACACTTCCCGTTCCGGCCGCTGTTGGGAAATTCGTACCTAAATAGACCTATCACCGTGAGTTCCCCCGCCCCCCCTTCCTTCCTTCCTTTCTTTTCTTTTTGGCTCATGGCTGCGGGTATAACGTCCAGGAACTGTTTTCGGCGCGTTAAAATTCGGGAGTTCCACCGGGGAAGACGAGGCTACATCCGTATTAGAAAGTACCATGGATAGAGAACGGTCTGGCCAAAGTACATAACGGTCTATATCAATATCGACATTTGTAGACTTTACGTGGTTTGTGATGTGCCCGGTGCTTACAGAACTTGTAAATTTCCTAGTCTTTCCTCTTTGTGATATGTTGACCTTGTAGTTCGGTACCATCGGATGCGACTGGGCTTTTTCCATGGTAAATAAAATTCAGCACGAGACATATCAAAATTCCATCGGTTACTTTGGAAATATTTTACTAGACTCCGCTGCTTTGAATCATGTACCATGGAATATAGATGGTTTCCTATGAAGGTCCTCGTTATACCCTGTTATCATTATCAATCTTTTTTTACATGACATTAATGTCACTGCCACTAGACCAGGTCCGTTTGCCTTGCATTGAATACTCCGATTCACACATCTAAATTCGATTTAATTCAGTCAGACACGACTCTGACGAGTTAGGAATAAAGTCACCTACCTTCGAACGCATACGATTCACGCACATAGGGTAGCTGGACATCCAAGCCATAGGATCTTTTCCAAGTAGGAATGTTGATCATGCCTTCCTATAGAGGTTAGAGAATACCTTTCAAGTTTACTTGAGCTTCTTACTTGTGTAATTGTCAAGTCTGCGGTACGCTTGAGCCCTCGATGAACTCTCGAGTGAAGAGCAACCAAGACTAGAGCAAAGAGGACGAGACCGAGACCAGCAAGAATAATAGTTGCTGCAGGAGCACAGGACCAGCAAAGAGCGATCAAAGAAGACATCTCCACGCGGACAAGGTCTATAAACAGTAGAATCTGGCAATGGAAAAGCAATATCCTGTCCCAATGAACGTGGATATCCATTCTTCTTTAAATACTAATTCTTATAATGATATGTGTGTGGCATAAAAAAAACCCCCTTCGCCTAAGCATCAAGGCAAAGACCCTTGTCTACTACCCATCTCGGACAGTGCAGAATCACAATATCCTTCAAGCACCACCAAAGCAAAGAGCCGGAGAATAAACGCCGATCTGTCAACTCGTGGTCTGGGCACTCGATCATCACCTCTGGAGCCTGAATCCTTCTCTGGACGTATGCATGCAGGAAAGGCGCATTCCAAGGACACTCAGCAGCTTGGATTTGGAAACCCGATTTAGGATCCCTGTACCTAATATTTGTAGATCGTATATATGTTTATTAATTTGATGTGGATCTCATTATTCTGTAGGAAAATAATATTTTTGTTATTCCTGCTTTTCCTTTTCCTTTTTTATTATTTCTGTTAATCCATCAATTTGGATTGGGGGAAGCCCTAAGAGTGGCGCTCAACGGGCTCATGGCTTTCTGTTCAAAAGACCATAGGGAATCAGGTCCATAAATCACTTATTATAGGTACACGAGGCAACCATTGCTCGGCTTAGACTTAGCAATGCCAGTGAGATGTAAATCATAGCGAACACGACCCTATTAACCCTATCTAAGCACCCATATCTAGTTGTCAGGCACGGAGTACCCAGACACCCGTTAGAAAGGAAAGACGCGTGGGCCGCGAAGGTGTAATGTAAGATAGGAAGAAGAGAAACCTCATTCACAAAAATAATATAAAAAAAGCAAAAAAAAAGAAGACCAAATTGCGCCGCACATTTGAGAAATTCCCCTCTCCTTTTTCTTCCCCTGCCATCCTGTTGGCACATATCTGGCACCAAACCCGCCAGTCCCGAGCCAATTGAGAGTTGTTCACTAGGTCTGGGATCTTCTTTTCTTGACCACATGCATAAATGCGCTGGCCCCACCGTACCGACAATGCGGACGGTGGAAATTGTTACCCGTTGCTGTGGGCTTGCCATGCATAGGGGGACACCCGGGTGTTTCTTGTGGATTCGTGGCATGGATATCAGGGTCTGCATGTTTGCTGTTTTCCGCGATTGGTCCTAGATTCACCTTGGACTTTTGCGCTAACTCTTGCTACTTCCCGGGCAGAAGGGGCAGAAAGAGCAGGAGATGCTGATAGACTTTCTGCTTGCTTTTGCTGTACCGGTCTCTTGCCATCAATTTGGGAGGATCGGATTTTCCAATCCCTGCTCGTACTTTTGTACCAAATATGAGGTCGACTTTTGGTGGCGGAAACTAGTTGGGTTATTTATATTTTTATTCCTGATATGATTGATATTTCTGTGACATAAATCCGGGATCTAATCTTACCATTGTGTTCCCGAAGTCCGACATGCTCCAGGTTCGTTTTAGGATAACAAGAAAAAAAGAAAGAAAAAAAATGCCAATGTGAAAGAAGGTATCAAGATCCAGTTAACCCATGTGTTTCCCCCCGCTGGGATCCTATAGATCCATTTGCTTTAAGAATTAAGAATTCCGGAATGCCTGCCATACTACCCCGCTGATGACGCCGTGGGCCAGAGGTAAAGATAAAAAAGAAATTTCGATGAAATAGGAACGCTTGTAGTTGGAAATTGCGCGGCAATGCACCCTCAAGGGCATAAAAGACAAATCAAATCATGCTCATTACTGGGTTGGTGGGCGAGGCCCAGAAGAAGGTCCAGAGTCAACATCCGAGACTCGGGGCCGTTTTGGGTCGTTTTGACCGGGTGCCGGGACCCCTGGATATGCACCAGGTGTAGCATCGCCGTTGGTGACGTCCATCAACGGAGGTCGTTTTCCGTTGAGATTCTGCTGGGGTGGCACACTGCCTCGGTTCATCGTGGCTGGGTTGGAAACGTTTCTTTGGTCAATGTTGGGCCGGGTCAATGGTCGATACGATGAAACAGAAGGGCCTCTGCTGACCGGACTGCTGACTCCACCGCCCGGAGCACCGACTCTGCGCTGCAGATCAGTTGAAGGATTGATAAAATCGCGTGTGTTGTTGTTGTTGTTGTTGTTGTTGTTATTATTGGTGATGGGCGCTGGAGAGGCACTCGACAGCATGGGCCTAGCAATAGGAATACTTTTGGTATGGTCTACACCAGCCGTCTTGCGGATGGAGGGACTCTCTGCGTGTGGATCGAATTGAGGTGCTCCTGACGGGACAGAATTTGGGTTTTCACGGAGAAGGTCCACCGCTCTAGCAGAATAGAAACCCGTTGACGGTGTGCCTTGTGGTGGGTTCATGTCCTGGTTTCCCTGAAATCCCCCAGGACCAGTTTCCCTTTTGACCGGGGGCTGGGGGATGTTGTTTTGTGGGACATTCAGACCAACCGGTTGCTGTGGTGGGACTGATGGTCTGGGGTTTGCAAGATTTTGAGCAGCACCTTGACCGGGCGTCGGTCGGCCTTGTACCGCGGCTGGAGATGGGATAGCCGATTGGTTCTGTCGCGCATTTAAAGGATTAGGTCTTCCCGCTTGGCCAGCGCCGTTCCATCGCTCTGGTTTTGACGGTGTTACGACAGCGGGGTTGAAACCCGCTCGAACAGGCGGTCCTCGCTGAGGCGCTGGACCGTTCATTGGCACAGGGTGCTGCGGTTCTCGATTAGTCTCCGTATCTATTACGATTTCATCAGGATTGCCTATATCGGTCTCAGCTACCCCAAAATCGGCTTCGTCAAAGAGGTCACCTAGAGACGATTAGCCAAGGTTCAAGGTTGTGTTTTTCTTAACACATACTGCCAAACTCTCCGTCCCCCTCAAAAGAAGTATTGTTTCCAGGATTACTGCCTCTGGCTTGATGTATAGGACGAGGAAGGGGTAGATCATCCTCTTCGGGTGCACGTTTGGGTGGAGGCAGCTGTTTCTTAGCAGGTGGCACAAAGTCAGGGTGACGGTGAAGATCGTCGACGTCCCATCTTCCCTATTTTGATGGTCAGCATGGCACATCGCAAATTGGAGGACCTCGTGGACCTTACGGGCGCTGCCTTGACTTTGGTCACCTTGGCCACATAATCCTTGTCATAGATACAGTTACCCAGCACGTTGCCAAAGTTTCTCAATGCACGTTTCAACCCATCTGTTGTGCCTTCTTTTTTGGCCTTCTCAAACGCTGCGGCCTTGCCCTTGCAATTCTCGATGTGCCCGTAGCCAATATCCTAGAAGAGGGATGGAGTTAACATAACAACGCACCAATAAATTCATATTTCGAAGAGTTTCCTTTACCTCATGGAAGGTTCCATCCCTCAGGGTTACTCTCATGGTAACTGAAAGTCCCAGGCTGATCTTTCCCGTGTTTTGATTCTCCTCAACCTGATACGCGTTAGCTGACCCTCAAGTACCTGAGAAGTATATGATCAACGCACAAAATCAATCTGAATCATTTGTATCGAGCTGGACCAGCCATTAAATCCAAACACCTCGTTCGCAAGGTTAATGCATTTGTCTGCGGAGAGATAGTGCACTTTCTGCCCCGCAGCACCAGGTCGCGCAGAGATGTATTCGGGTCCCAATTTCTTATCTAGACGGGCTTGTAGAGTTGCAATTTCCTGTGCGGTGTATTCGCTGATGCGGCGTTGGGGTTCCTCGAATGGGTTTGCTGTGGCGGCTCCTGTTGCGTTCGGCATCATTATAGATCCCGCACCACCGCGATGTTGGTCACCAACGCTGAGATTATCACTATCAGTGCTCGGTTCTATGGGATATGACATTTTCTGGATCCTGGGTATTAGGTCTCACGCTGGCATTTTTTGTTGTGAATGAATGTCGAGTTCGATATTAGAGATGTAATGACGGCTTGTCGAGCGCGTTTGTCAGGCACCAAGACGCGGCTCATCGCGATATCACATGACGATAACGCGATAAGATACAGATTAGAGCTCCAAGTCGATTCAAGTAAACAAAACACATTACTGCTTAAGGATAGTTGGAGATTAATGGGGTTGTGGTTCATGTTTGGAAGATATTATTCGGGGCTTCATCTCATTTTCTCATTCGTTGCAAAAGCTATCTATCCTCTGGGCATCAATCATTGGATGACGAGACTGGCACTAGGAACAAGTCCTAGTTCCTTCAAAGTCTCTCCGAAGAACTCATTACCAAACACCTTCTTAGGGAAATTCTGCACGAAGTTCTGGACCTCAATCCCATCCTGTTCCTTCAATGCAGTGGCAACCTCAAACAACGTGGTGTCAACGGGCAGTGTCTTCATTATGTTGCCCTTGGGTGATTGGAATCGCAACCGAGTTTCCGTGTAGGCGGAGGCAGGTTTAGACGTAGCGGGACCGGAGGAAGTAGATACTGGGGTGGTGGCAGGCTGGAGAGGGGGAGCCAGACCGGCACGCTCAGCTCGCTGCTTCTCTGCCTTCAATCGGCGCTCCTCCTTGTCGGCCTCGATCTTTGCCTTGATGCGCTTCTTGGCATCGATTTCATCCTGCTTCTCCTTCTTCTTCTTGGCTGCTTCCTTCAACTGTTGCTTCCGCTCGAGGTCCTCTTTGGCATCTTGACTCTCCTTGGTGCTCTTCCTTCGGATTTCCTGATGAAAAGTCAGCAAAATAGCTCTAGTCAGTAAATTGACGGGACGGAAACCAGGTGTACACACCTCGTTCTTCTTCTTGTCAATCTTGTCTTGTTCCGAGAGTCCTGCGCGCTTCGCCGCAAGCTTCTCCCGCAACTCTGCCAATCTCTGCTTCTTTTGCTCCTCGGTCAACGGAGCAATCTCCTCAGTAGACTCCGCAAAATCAACATGTCCCGACTTTGATGCGTGGAACTCGGCCTGTGACTGGCCTCGGAACTTTTTGCCACACTCATTGCATACTAAGCTGCGCGGTTGCTCGCCTGGTTGAAGTGCGGGGCTCTCTTCGTTTTGTGCCTCTTTCGCTTGTGCCTGTATCTCCTCCAATGACTTGTC